TCTCCCATTTGCGGAGCACAGGCTCCGGACGCGCAGGCCCAGCGGCCATGGCTCACGGGCCCAGCCGCTCCGCGGCGTGTGGGATCCTCCCGAAACGGGGCACGAACCCGCGTCTCCTGCATCGGCAGGCGGACTCTCAAGCACTGCGCCACCAGGGAAGCCCTCTTTTAGGGTCTTAATGACACATTCACTTTACCTGTAATCATTTTGGGTCTCTCTCTCCTTTTTTTTTTTTTTTTTTTTTTGCATGCCTAATGATTCATTTAATGTGTGCACCCTGCTATGTGTCCTCAAGCATGAACTATGTCAATAGGATAATCTACTGATAAACGAAAGTGAGAAGTACAAGTTGTTGGAGATCAACCTGGTCTTTACTTATCTCAGTACATATTCTTCTGAAATGTTCCCTGTGACTTAAGTTGTGAACAAATGAGAATGTCGCATGAGCAAATGCAGATTGTTAGTGACTTAGACGTGGGGTGAGGGGCTGGAGAGAGGCCAGTTGTGTTGGCCAATCTCCTGTGTGCCACCTTATCTACCAAAATATAACCAAAATATATACTGGGTAGGTAGGGCTCATCTAGAACCTGGATTAGGAATAAGGATTGAGAAGAAAACTCAGCTGGGTGATGAATGAGTTTCAGCTCATTTCTGGAACTAGTTGGAGAAGGGATAGGAAACAGTGGGTTGGACAGCAAGCTATTCTGAGAACCTTCAAAGACCTCAGATCCCTCCTAGCTAGGAGAGAGAAAAACGCATCTAGGCCAGGGCTAATCACCCAACAAATCTTATTAAAAGGAAGATTTTGACTCAACAGGGCTGGAATGGACTGAGATTCTGCATTTCTATAAGCTCCCAGGTGATACGGATGCTGCTGGTGCATGGACCACATTTTGAGTAGCAATGATGCAGAGCAGTGCTATCCAGTAGAATTTTTGCAGTGATGGAACTATTCAACATCTGTATTGTCTACTATGGTTATTGAGTGATTGAAATGTTGCTAGTGCAACTGAGAAACTAAGTTTCTACTTAAATTAACTTTAAACAGCCACATGGAGCTAGTGGCTACAATGTAGGACAGCACAGATCTTAGACATTCAGGGATCACCTCTTCTCAGCCACAGCAATATATGTGATGGTCCTCAAATGATCTAATCCATCAATTCATTTAGATTAGTAACTTTCCTTCTATAAAATGCAACCTGTAAAATCAGTTTCCTTAAATTGTTTTCTTCCTAACACTTGGCTAGATGACCCACAGTGGGTGCTAAGGTGGGGCAAGATAAAAGGAGTCAGTTTGTAGTGGGACAGTTGATGAGGAAAGGGTAGTACGTGGCAGTGAGAATTTGAGCAACCATCTGTATTGGGCACGTGGCAAAATGGGAAGCCAGGAAGTAAGCAAGAAACTCAGAAAGTGAGGTGGAGGGACAGATGGAAGAGAAAAATTGAGTACTCTGAAATTTTATTTAGGCCTGACCCTGTCTCTTTCTTGACAAGTAAGTTGTTCCTCAGGAAAACGAGCAGTGAAGGAAAATGAGAGGAAGTGGATGTTAGCTGCGATTCCCCTCCAGCCCTCCCAGATTATCTACATGAAGGAGAGTCTGGTGGGGAGGAAGGACGGCAATCACAGCTGGCAATCAGGCCCAGGCTTGAGCTTCTCACCTCAGCGTACGCATGGACCAAGGCACAGAGGCCCCACCTGCACTCCCCGGAGCTGGGATCAGGCCACGTGGAGAAGCTCTTCCTATCTTTGTTGTGACCCCATCTACCATGAGAAGCTGATTCCTCTGCGAGGCTGACAGTGGCCTCTGGAGGCTCTGAGGGCACCATCCTGGCAAACAGGCGTGAGTGATGTCCTTCGGGTCCTACATAGCTATGCACAGACAATGCATACAGTGAAAAATGCTCTTATTTAACCAAAAAGATCAAAAGTGTCATTTAAAGAATTTCCCTCATCCAAAACCCATTTGCTGGAAAATTCTAGCTAAGGATTCTGTTAACTGAGGTTCAGCATATATAATGGATGTTACTCAAGAGTGAAAAAGCAACATCAAATACAAAATCTAATCATTTACATCTTACTCTTAAATTCTGAACGTGTGATAACTAGATAATCTTTCCTATTGGCAAAGGAGAATTTGGGGAGAGTGAAAATCGGTAACGATTTTTGCATTAATTCATTCTTTTCTAGGATTTCTTGCCTCCTTGTCTCCACCTTTATTTATTTATTTATTTTTTTGTGGACAGGGATCCGCAGTCTCAGCAGAGAGTTCTGAGAACCTGGTCTGCCTATTTTGATTTCACGGGGAAGTGCTTGAAAGAGCAGGATACTTTGCAGGGTGAGGGACTCTAAAAGGGACTGGAAAGGAAGACCTTTGATTTCATAGGTGTGGATAACGTTAAAATTAACTGAGTAGCTCTTTGCTCTTTTAAGCTACCTGATACAATTCGCTTTGGAAAATTTCCATTTATTCACAACTTAGGTAAAATATATCGTCAGACACACTTGGTCAGGAACCTATCAAGTTTCATTTATTTTTCAGATGCCCAAATTTTGTGATTTTTACTAGTAAATACTCAAGTTATAAATAAGGATAAGCATCAAATATTTAAACCCTTTTGATATAATTAAATTATATGTCAGACAATAGCTCATTTTAAATGTTTTCCCATCGATATTTCTCTTTAAGCATCTGGCAAATAAATGCCTAGAAAATATCAATGAGAGTATATTTCAGATTACATGTACACAAGTGTGAATGTACATATAAATGTATATGTGTATATATGTATATCTTTTGAGCACCCACCTAGAAGGCTACTTTATGAAAATTGTTAACCACTGGGTCAGTACCCTGTTTACTTCTCTTATATAGAAGATTTTTAAACATTAGAATTCATTTTTTGGTATATGATGTCTAAAGAAAATTTATTTAAGGACATTTTTGTGACTTTTTGATATGTATGCCTTTGGCTTTCAAAGATTTTGATCACTGTAATGTTGACTCCTCATGTGCTAGACTGAAGTATAGTGGTTTACAAAAAGGAAAATAACATCTACCTGATAGGATATAAGAATTAAGTGAGATAATAATAAATAATGGAAAGCCCTTAAGAAAAAATTTAAATCGCTTGTTGGGAAGTTTATGTCAGGAGTCCCTTTAGCCAGTGGGTGAGTCTGGGTGACCAATCAGTATACCAATCCCAGTTGAGACGTTGGGGAAATTCCTGGATGTCAACAGTCTGCTATATTATAGATGCAAACAGAGTGTTAAATAATTATTTAATTGAAATGAAAAATTTAAAACAGAATGTGGGAATTTTGGTACGGAGAGCTATAATAAGTTTTGTTAGGCAACAGAACATATAATTTTATGAAAATATCCAGAGAATTTTCTTAATGTGCACACCTACTATTTATGATAGGTTGGTATAAAATTGGCTTGCATAAGATATATATCATTTGTTGATTAGGGCACAGACACATGTTCACAAATTCTTAGATATAGAATATTTATGCAAAATTCCACATCAAAGAACAGAAAAGTGCCTTTAGCCAACCAAAAGGTACTTAGGTAGTAATAAATTAAATTCCATGAAAACTGATGTTAAAGCTAAGTGTTACGTATTAAATGTGACATGCAAGAAACAGAAAGACAATTCAGGCAGGAACACCGTGCATTAAGATTTGCATTCATTCATAGTATTTGAGGGGTTTTAACCATATTCTTTGACCACTGAGAGCTAGGAATCTGACGTGATACCAATTCAAAACACCACTTAATTTACATCTTAGTCTTCTAGCCAGTGATTTTAAGTAAGAAGCCAAGGCCTCCAATAATGAAACCCAAGAAATTTCAGCTACATATTGTTATGTGGTTGCACGGTAAGAACATTCCATCTGACCAGGTTAAAGGAAAGTAAACATTGTGCAATTCCACCTTTTGGACAATGCAATTGTCTCAGATTCCTCCCACCTTTTTACTAATATGAGCATATTTGAATGTGTCAGGTTTGCACAATAAGAAAATGGCTTTGTGGAATGTATTTTTTTGGCACAAAATATTTTCTAATACCTCAAATCAAAATTTTCACCCATATCAAGCCGTAGAGGTGCCTCAGTGGTGCTTACTTATCTAGGCAGAAAACTACAAGAACAGCCAATGGCTCCCAAGGACTTTGTATTAAGTAGCAATTACTTTCCTTCCAAGGAATAGCACCAATATGATTACACCTCAGACTGGGGGTGTGCTCCTTCCAAGCTCTTTAATTCCCTGGAGAATTCGCTTCATATGACCCACTTTCGGTATCCCCAGGTCCTAAAAATAAAAAAAAGGAAAAAAAGGTAGAAAGAAAGAAAGAAACAGGAAGAGGTTTACTGACAAGAGAAAAACTGAGGATTAAATATTTAACTAGCTAATAACACAGTTAGCATTCAGCTCATTCATTTTAGTTTACATTCAATGATTTAGGAAGTAAAAGTTAGAAAAGTAAGTTTATAAAACCAAAAAAACCCTGACATTAAAAAATTGCCGACCAGTAAAAAAATCACATCTTACACAACTCTTAAATGTAACATTCTCATAAGTTATACATAAGGGCAATTCTTTAAGAGTCAAAATTACTTCCTCTTTTTTTTGTTGTTTTAAAAAACACAGGTCCGGGCTTCCGTGGTGGCGCAGTGGTTGAGAGTCCGCCTGCCGATGCAGCGGACGCGGGTTCGTGCCCCGGTCCGGGAGGATCCCACATGCCGCGGAGCGGCTGGGCCCGTGAGCCATGGCCGCCGAGTCTGCGCGTCCGGAGCCTGTGCTCCGCTACGGGAGAGGCCACAACAGTGAGAGGCCCACGTACTGCAAAAAAAACCCCCCAAAAACCAAAAAACCACAGGTCCTTTTGTGATCTCTGAAAGAAGTGACATGTGACACCAGGGTATCCACAATTAGTCTTAAAACAACTATACGTTTCCTTGCTAAAATATTAAACTTCCAAGTGAGGCCTGATCCTCAGGGAAGGCTCCAGTGCCCATGACCTAAATGTGGAATCCAAATGCATTTGAACTTGCATTTAGAGACTTTGATTTGAGTGAAATATTTAAATATTCCTTATACTTTGTAATGTATAAGTATAAACAATTACATAAACATTGGTATGTATCTGTGGGTTGATGCTTTTCCTCAAAACACTTTTGACTCCTTCCCCTCAGAATTCTTGTTTCTTAAAGGACTATCTTCCTAAAAAAGAGCCAAGGAGCCAATATTTAGTTTTCAGAAATGAATGGTGATTGCAGAGTGTGCAGCACAGAGCAGGAGCTTGGAGAACAAATACTTGTTGCAGTGATAAATGAGACCCATCCAAGGTAGCCATAGTCGCTGTCGGAAAAACTAAAAGAGATGGTGAAGGCCTCCCTATAGCTTCTTTAAGCGTAATGGGCATAATTTGTGTGAAGTCAGACAACTTCCTCACAAAACAAAGACTGTGAAATATTTGAAAATTAGGAAAAAGATGACTTTCAAAGCAGCCTAGAAAATATAAGGTACCACAAGATTATTTGTCTGAGAAGATACACACACACATGCGCGCGCTCTCTCTCTCCCATATACTTTATGATCTCCTTGAATTCTATAGCAGCAATGCTACTGATGATTCTGAAACCTTCTGGAAAATACTCCTTCCACAGCCAGTGCTCTTTGTGAGCTTGAGATAATTTCAGGGTAACATTTTTACAATATTTAACTGACCCTGAAAAATATTTGCTCATATGATACCAGGTCATCCGCAATTAGTCTTAAGGCAACTATACATTTCCTGAGTGTGTGCTAAGACAGCAAACTTAAAAGCAAGGCCAAACCCTACAGGAAGATAGAAAGGCATTTACAGAGGCATTTGGATTCTTTGATTTGAGTGGAATATTTTAATGTTCTTTATACTTTGTGATAACATAGTTATCTGACTAATATCTTGAGTATTAAATATTTTATTTTAGGCCATGTGCACATTGTATTCTCAAGAATAAAAACTTCTTTGAGAGATGCAGACTCTACCCAGAATTATTATTTTGGTGTCTCGAGATGAATGTTTTCCCTAGAGTTACACTAACTTCTTAGCTATATTTTCTTTAGTTTGAGTTCAATACATTCACATCTTCTAGGAGTTAGGCTGTGATAAAGTTGTGTCATGATGTTTGTTATATATTTATTTTTATCATATTTTTTAGTGTTGACTTTTTCTTTCTTTGGATGAATAGCTTTAACTTTGCAGAGGCATGCTTTGTAGATACTGTTATCCTTCTACGCACACATATAAAACTTTCCAAATGGAGAAAACAAAAAGCCAACCAAACAAAACCCCTGTGTCTTTACCATTTTCTTTGTTACCCCTCACTTTTTCCTACTGCCTTCTAGGAGGTCAAATAATGCAATCAGTTTATTTGTCTGTTAAAACACATTAGCAATATTTCCCCTTTCCCACCTTTAGACTGTCACATTGCTACCTCTAGCTGTTTTGATGATAAGGAAGTAACCTGAGCCAAGATCTGAGCAGAGTTAGCCAGGTGACGGGGAGGGGGGCAAGCATATCATAGGAGGGTACACCCTTAAGGTGACAGAGGTCAGTATTTTTAAACAAATGAAATAGGGCCAGGGTGGAAGGGTATATAGCCCAGCAAGGGCCAGTGTTCCACAGCAGGTTGACTATATAGGCAGACCTTGTAGGCCTCCCGTAGCGAGTCTTTATTCTAACTGAAATGGGAAGCCACTAAAAGGTTTTAAGCAGAAAAGTGATACACCTGATGTTAAAATGTCACTGTGCAATGTGGATAATGGACGAGAGAGGGCAAGAGTAGCAATGCGAGGGCCAGTTAGGAAGCTACTGACCTTACACAGGCAAGAGGAAGGACTGTGGAAAGGAGAAAGAGAAATGTATGGAGATTAAAGTCAAACTAGGTGATGGGTTTAATGAGTTAGGGGGGAAACGATAAGGAAGAGGAAGGTGCTAAATATGACCTTGGGTTTCTCTAGCTCACATCCCTGAGTTGCTAAGATGTAGAGCACTGGAGAAGGGGCAGAATGGGAGTAGGACAGGAGAGTACAAGTTTGGTGTGGACACGTTAAGACTGACAGCCTGTGTGATGGCCAAGTAGCAAGCAGAGTTGGTGATATAATCCTAAAGTTTACAAATGAGGTCACAACCTTGTGAACCGCTGATATATTCATAGACAGTATTCGAAGCAATGGGAATGGACAAGATTACCTAGGGAGTAGGTAACCCTTCACCAACATTAAGAGACTTTCCTCTGAAGGGTCTGCTCCCCCTTACAGCTATAACCACAGAGTACGAGGACAGCTCGTTCTCTAGCTCGGTTTTGTTCCACTGAAGGCTCTTTCTGTAAAACTACTTTCCTTTCCCATTGCCCCACACCCTGTTTTAGAACCAAAAGAGTTAAAATGGACTATGTCAATAAAACTTCTAAAAGAAAAGTTTTAAGGGAAAGAATGTAATTTGCATAAAAAACCAAAAAAGTCTCATGAAAAACTAAATAGAAATTTTACTAACCTAATTCTTCATCAGCAGCTCCTTTGTACTCTTATTTTTTTTTCCAGCCAGGTCCTATCAGTCTAACTTTGACTTTTCTGTGTGAGCTTTGTTTTTTCGTTCTGCAAATAACTGCTTCACTCACTGTGTGTGTACGTTTATATACGTTTGTATGTACATATATGTAACATATACATATCTATTTATATACACACACAGCCTTTTCCTTGAACATATGATTATTCACGGCAAATGGAATGCAAGCTTCTAGAGGGCAGATGCCACCTAGAGAAGCTGGCATAATATATTAATCAGTAGCTATTCAATAAATATTGCTGCCTGCCAAGGATATTAGAAGCTACACAAATATGTTGCATGTAATGATTCTCTACATTTATTTTTTGATGTATTCAAGTGTTGAAGTCAATTTTTACTTTATGAACTGTAACACTATAGATTTTGCTATGTTCCAGATTTGGGACTCTCAACTAAGATAATTAGTTAATCTATTATTTTATTATTATTCTGGCTAAAAATGTGTAGGTATAAGTGGTGTCTACTTTTGATGTGCTAAAACTTTATGACTCTGCTTTATAAAAATCTATACTTTAGGTTCCCCATCATGGGGTCAAAGATCTCTGCTAACTTATTTGTAGATAAAGGCACAACCGTTCATGAATTTATTAGGAATTTACTGTCTCATAATTCTACGCATTTTAGAACCTGGTCTACAGGAAAGGAATCAATCCAATAAATGTTGAAGGCTTTGTCACTTGCTTATGAATCAATCTTGGAATTTTTAAATGGCAGCGTGGGGTAAGAAAATATAACATTACAAAATCCTACTTCTAACCCTGGGACAGAATATGCTTCTCTGGCCATTTCTATGGTTGAGTCTCCACCCAAAGAATAAAAGGGAATTGCTGCAGACCATGAATTAATACTTTTCATTCCCTGTCATAAAAGACAAATAGGCTTTGGGCTGCCTTCTAGCAAAAACAAGGCATAATTTTTACTTCATTTACTAAAGAAAATAATAAATTTATTTTTGAGAAGAATACAATTTTAATAATAAGTCGTGGAAAGGAAATTTGAATTTATTTGTCTAGTTGTTCACGTGACCTCTGAAAGCTCAATTTTGAAACACAACCGAATCATAGGATTCTAAGTAGCCACTGCTGTTAAGTCTCTCATCTAGTTCCATATATTAGAAAGGCTTTGTTATTGGTATTTTGAATTAAATTTTAGTTGTTAACCTTTTATTAGATATTTTCAGCAACAAATATCACCTTTCATGTTGATCCAAAAAAATGAGCTGATGGAAATATGATCCATTTGGAAATATTAGCACAGGAACAGCCATACCAACGGATGCAGAGAAAACTAAGTTCATGCTAAGCTTTAGCTATAACAGTCAGACAATGATTTTGACAGAAAAATATTGCTGACATTCTTGTTTCAAAATGCATACCAGGAACTCAGACCACAGGACAATGCATATTAGATTACTGCACGTTTGCATAACATAAGCCAAGCTATAAGCACAGAACAGAACAGCACAGGAGAAAGGAGTCTGTTTTGCAAGAACAATTTTAAGAGCAGAAGAGTAGCACAAAGGAAATACCTTAAGATCTCGCCTTTCCAGATGCAAGAGTTCAGCCCCTCTGATGTCATGACGGATGAAGATTTCTTTGTACTCTCCCAAACTGAGCAGATCCAGCCAAGCAGCAACTTCCTCTGTGCCCCATTTCTGAACTACCAAAGTTAAGAGCAAAACCCCCTTAATTTCTACATGCTCAATGCATTACAAAGCACAGGTTGGCCAAAGAAGATGCGAAACAGAGTACTGCGGCAGTGCTAGCAAAGGGAAAGGTTCAAGGTATTGTCTCAACAAAACTACAATTCCACTTTTTCCCATGCAAGTTTCAGACTATCAATCAACACAAGGATCTGACTCTACAAAGACATTCACTGCTGCACACCTGTGCCTTTCTCTTTAGCTCAATTTCCTCCTTAAAGCCATGCAAACTGCACAGTATGTATAAAAAATGTATTCCTCGTGATTAGGATCAGTAGTACAAGGTCTAAATAAGCTCCGATGAGTTCCTTAAGGACCATACATGAAACTTATTATAGTTTAATTAGCTACAAATGCTAATTAAAATTTAAAATCTGACACAGGGTACAATTTTACACAGATTTCTGCTTCAGGTCTTGCCAACTTCAAGTACTGCCTTTATTGGTTTTGATGATTACCGTTATTGATAATTATAGCAATAAATATATTGTTAAATCAATTTAATGTCATCTAAAAACTGTCAACACCGCTTTCTAAGATTGGTTGGGTTGTTATTTTACAGTATGTACCATCACTCTTTTATACATTTTACCCAACGTTGATTAGCTTAATAAAAGTCTCCTTGTTTGCCACATTTGGTTTTAAAATGCCCTTCAATAGCTGCTTTACGATTGTCAAAAATAAGGTTATGTATCACTTTTCAAAATGAGATGGCTAACTCAGAAGAGTTATAAAATGATTTGATTATGAAAGGCACCTACCATCATATACACAGAACTTGAAGGTCTTTAGCAGTAGTACAGCATTAAATTTAATCTCTAAGGAAAGGTGGAAAGGGAACTTGAAAGAATACCCAAGAGAGAGTTTAATCTTTGCTTGAGAATACAAGTGTCACAGTGGACTGTCATTACTGAGGGGCCGAAATGGCATCGTAAGTCCTTAAAAGAGAAGGAAGAGAATATATAACTTGAGGTGGAAAATATATCTAGCAAGTTAAAGGAGTAAACGAAAGTTTCTACGTTCCATTTATCAAAATGATATAGATTTTGCACATTGAAGAAGGGAAACGAGTTACAAGCCTTGAATTATTGTTAGCAAGACGAAGACCCATCTAACAGACATGCTGACATTCACTCAGAAAAGTAGAAGCAAATCAGCAACCACCTTGTAGACTTGTTAACTGCATGACTACAGACTTCTACTCATATTTGGGTTTATTTTAGGTGTGATGTGACTTTTTCATTATGGTAAAGTGAACATAAAATGAAATTCACCATTTTAACCATTTTATAGTGTACAGTTCAGTGGCATTTAGTACATTCATAACATGGTGCAATAATCACCACTCTCTAGTCTCAGATCACTTTCATCCCCTCGGTGATATTCGCCTCAACACATTATTTTTTTCATAATGTTATACTTTCCCTTCCCGCGTGGATCACCTACCAGCCTGTGAACTTGTCTTCTGCTTCTGAACCTTTTCCTTTTTGAATTTGGGCACGATACGAAATACTGTGCTTCTGCTGTTTCTCTTGGTGCAATCCATGGGGGGCTCCTGTTCGAGTCGAGCAAGAAGAGAATTTTCTCAGGATATTAAGAGAAGAAAAACCCACTCTGATAGCACAGATAACATAGATGTAAGTTATCCACACAAAATATTGTTGAAGTGATAACTTCTTCCCCAAAAGTTCATGATGTTACGCACTCCTGAAAAGGTACTGACTCCCATAAGATGCCTTTGTTCACCTAAAAGCTTTTTCTCGTTGGTTCAAGAAAAGTGCATTTGAAAGTAGTCTCCCCTGACCTGTGGTTTCCCTTTCCGCGGTTTCTGTTGCCTGCGGTCAACCACGGTCTGAAAATACTACCTGGAAAATTCCAGAAATAAACAATTCATAAATTTTAAGTTGTGCACCATTCTGAGTAGTATGATGAAATCGTGAGCCATCCTGATCTATCCCATGCGGGATGTGAATTATCCCTTTGTCCAGCTTATCCCATCTGTTGGTCACTTAGTAGCCATCTGAGTTATCAGATCAACTGTTGTGGTAGCACAGTGCTTGTGTTCCAGTCACACTTATTTTACTTAATAAGGGTCCCGAGGCACAAGAGTAGTGATGCTGGCAATTCAGATATGCCAAAGAGAAACTGTAAAATTGCTTCCTTTAATGAAAAGCTCAAAGTTCTCAACTTAATAAGGAAAGAGAAAAATCGTATGCTGAGCTTGCTAAGACCTACAGTAAGAACGAATCTCTGTCTGTGAAATTGTGAAGGAGGAAAAAGAAATTCATGCTAGTTTTGCTGTTGCATCTCAAACTGCAAAGGTTATAGCCACAGTGCATGAGAAGTGCTTAGCTGGTATGGAAAAGGCATTACATTTGTACAATAAGATATTTTGAGAGAGAGAGAGACCACATTCACATAACTTTTATTACAGTATATTGTGATAATTGTTCTATTTTATTATTCGTTATTGTTGTTCATCTCTTACTGTGCCTAATTTATAAATTAAACTTTATCTTAGATATGTATGTAGAGGGAAAAACATAGTATATATAGGGTTCAGCACTCCTCTGAGGTTTCAGGTGTCCACTGGGGGTCTTGGAACGTACTTCCAGCAGTTAAAGGAGGACGACTATATTCAAAATGTATTTTCCCCTGAACACCTCTTTTTCAAAGGATGCATTCAAATTCTATTGTCACAAAGCGTACACATTTATAAAGAAACAGGACAAATGTTACATACCTCATCCTCATTTGGGTGTAAGATATAGTAAAGCCAAGGGATCTCTGTTAATTTCTGTAGCTCTACCTCCACGGAATGCAAGGCATTGGATACCCGCTCTTCATGTGGAGATTCCAACTGCTATTTGACCAGCAGATTAAAAACAAAATAAAACAAGCCTCAGTGACCAACCTCAAATAGAATAAATTATTTTGCTGACACTGAACACCCTCATCTCTTATCAGACGAGGCTAGATTGTTGTTGGTTTTAATAAAAAAGAATATGGAAAAAAGAACAAATTATTTTATACTGAGTTCATTTAAGCAAATCTAAATAGATTTATTCCTTACTTCCCAAAGATGATATAAGTAGCTAGTGTGACTTTAACAATTTCACAGAGAAAAGTATTACTTACGCTGATGTTTTATCTATGTAAATCCAACCCTCCTCCCTTCCTATCCATGCATCCATCCGCCCATTCTGCCGGCTTGCACTAGGGAGTAATCCCATTATTCTACTTCTTTGTGGCAAAAATCATTCTGATTTACATAGGTCACTGTGTGAACAAATAATAATATTTTAAATTGGTCAAAAATATGTCATATAATAAGAACTGCCTGGCACAAAAATCCTCTGGATAATTAAAATAACAGGTTAAAAAAAGACCCATGGATCTCAGAAAAATTTGTGACAAAAAGTTGTTGTACAAATCAGGGCAAAGCAAAAAGCTAAATGGCTTGAAACCTGGAAGAGGGCTAGCAAACTTTAAAGAGAGTGTAACTGGTCACCTATTATCCACCCATTTGAAGCAGTTATTAAAAGTCACTTGAAAATTCAGTAAACGAATAAAGGTGAAACAAACACTGTTAGGTGCAGAATTGAAAGGGAGGTGACTGAATTCTAGTCCTGGCCTTTTCACTAACTATGCAACCAAGGGAAGATGAATTGATTTCAGGGGTCTTAAGTTTCCTTCTCAATAAATAGTAGAAAGCGACTACACACTTTCTAAGATCTCTTCCAGCTAATCAATACTTTTATAAACTACTTTAAAATTGTAGAGTACCTACATATAGGTTCACAGAATTTTAAGCTGAAAAGTTCAGAGAGAATATTATTATTAGGGACATTATTTTTTCCCCTCTGTTATTCAAGGGATCCAGCATTTCTAGAAGTTAATAAAACTATGGAGATTTTCCACCAGGTCAAATAAAATTTACCACTTTCCTTTAAGTCTAAGAATATATGTCTTACAAAATTGATTAAATGGTTATTGCATATTCATTCGACAAGAAAAATGAAGAATATAACTTAGCTGCTCTCAAACACGACTATTTTGATATCAATATTGCCAAATATTAAAAAAAAATTCACTGGTATACATTTCAAACCAAACATCCATATTTGACAATGACAGAAGAATTAAAAGTGGAGGGGAATCCTTATATATTAACATAATATAATTGATTAATATTAACCAAGTAACATTTAATGGGTACTTTCAGTGTAGAGAGCTAAAATACAGAGAAAGTTATGCTTTTAGTTCTCGTCAATCAGAAATTATCTTAAATGTATTTCAAATAACATGAAAAAAATACATGTCGTTCATCCAATAATTGGGACCAAGGTCACAGCTCACTGGCTTTCCTATAGGACTAATTTTAGAAGAGCAGCAAGAAGAATTCAGGTTAATAATAGAAGTGCCAAGAATAGCCAAGAAGATTTTCCCGTTGGTTTTATCAGAAGAGATATTCAATGTTTCTTCCTAAAAATTTCTCTTCGTGACCATAGCAGAGGCAGCCACCTCTGGCCCCAAGGAAGTTATACTTGAGTTTCCCTCGGAGGTGGGTAAAACCAATGGACTTCATGCAGCCTTTAAGCTTCTCTTCTAAGAGCAAAGGATGCTCCAAGGGTGACACATTTCACTGGACTCCAGTCAAGCAGATATTCCAACCAATCACTTACAGTTGGCTAGGCTACGGAACATACCTCTCATTCTTCCACTGTGCCAGATACTATGCCTTTTATTCTCACTTTTATTTAGATGTATACATTTTCCCAAGAAAGAGAGAAAATTACAGTAAAGAGAAATGTTTTAAGATCATCACCTATCAATTAATCAAAATTGTTACAAGGAAGAAAACAACAGCTAATGTATCAGGCCTCCTACAGTTACAACAGCATGTGTGAATAACCTACAATGGAACACTAGGTGGCGAAAAGACCCAACGTGCTAGAACATTTCAAGGGTGAGGGAAGAAAGGCTGTTTAGTAAAGGACTGTGGGCAAACCAGACAGAAAATCTATGGATTCCTAGCACTTAGGCCTGAGGTCCATGAACTTGTGGTCTGATTCAGACTTGGCTGCAACTTGATTTCCAACACCAATCTTGAGTTAACCTACGAATAGGTCTAGTTCTTGAAATTTAGTTCTTGAAACACGGAATCTAGAAAGCATCATCTAAGCAAATCTAGAAAATAACAATCATATTTCAAATGTTAATTCCGGGAACACAACTCATGACTTCCTCTAGTTTTCTGCATTAATGGGTTAATGAGTCCCTAGGGAATGTCTACCACTCTCTGTAAAGTTCAATATTCTCAAAGCTGACTGGGGGGAACATATGTATGCATACGGCTGATTCACTTTGGTGTACGACAGAAACTAACACAGTATTGTGAAGCAATTATACTCCAATAAGGATCTATTAAAAAAAAAAAAAAAAACCCACGATGAGGGGAAATCTCTACTCCTGTTAGCCTAAAGTGTAACTCCAAGGTGTAGCCATAAATTTTCTCGAAGGCAAAAGCTAGGTAAAAAGGAAGCTCTAGGGATGGAGGCCGGAGGCTGCTTGTGCATTAGAATCTGATGAATGCATGCTCCCTAATGAAGACAAGAACCATACATTTATCATCATTCTGATGTTATCCACCATTTCTTTTCCTTACCAAAGGAACCCTGCCAACTAGTAAAGACTCTGTTTCATTATATAGGGCCTTCACGTTGATGGCTATTTCAGTGGCAGTGTCTCTCGTAAGACTCTAGGAAAAAAAACAAACAAAACATCAAAGACAAGTAGTTCTGTATTAAATTGGGATTCTATCATCAGCGAGTACTTTACACTTCACTCTTCCCATATAAATTCACATCGCAAATATTTTAAAAAGTCTACCAAATCCTATTGTAATTGCAAAATTTCACACTCACATTTGTTAGCATGATTACCTCTTCTAATTCTGTGAGCACAGAGCCAAAAGAATGCACTGACTATAGTGAATACACTCAGGACCACATCTCCTACACACGAACACGTATATGCTGGCGACAACAGACACATACTCCCACAAGAATTAAGTCAAAGAAAATTATGTCTTAAAAGGGACATTATCTGATCATAATTAATTCTACCCATTGAGTATCACTCTCCATAGTTCCAACCAGATTGATTTTTAGACTTTAATAATCTTGAGGACTGACACTTATTTGTATAATAACTTAGGTAAATCAACTGAATAACTGAATGGGTAAAAATAATGTTACCAGTTTTCTCTATGCCATACATCACATTTCATCACATTTATATTCTATCCACTCTATTATTAACTTCTACATTAGAAAATTAACTAAATTTACTGATTTAGTAAAACAAAATGGAGAATAATTTCAGTGGACAACTTCAAAGATGCATGAACAGCTCTAGTTAAATGCATGATATCTAGGCTTGCCCTATATGAAGGTGCAAGGGAGAAGGTAAAAAAGAGGAATGTTAGTACTTAAAAAGAGAAGGAGCACAAGGAAGATGGGAAGGTGACAAGTGATGGAAAGTGAAATAGAAAAAAAGGAACCAAATTAAAAGGGAGGAAAGGAAAACAAAGAAAAAGGGAAAATAAAGAAAAACCTGGCCACAAGCGAATGATAAGCTTCTGGTTGAGACGCGTATAGACTAGTATTATGTTCTTTCAAAGGATGTGGCACATTTTGTGGTATCAAGCTATATGTGGAACACCAAAAAATCTGTGGAATGGGCATTTACCATTGGCTCCTCACCTCTGGGAAGCGTGGGTTGGCTTTGTTCAGTGCATGGGAGCATGCGTTCACTGCGTGCGCCAGCTCTTGCTCCAAAAGACAGTGGATGGTGGCTGCATCACAAATCCTGAAAGCAAAAACGAGGCAAATGGGCTTCCCTGGTGGCGCAGTGGTTGAGAGCCCGCCTGCCGATGCAGGGGACACGGGTTCGTGCCCCGGTCCGGGAAGATCCCACATGCCGCGGAGCGGCTGGGCCCATGAGCCATGGCCGCTGAGCCTGTGCTCCGCAACGGGAGAGGCCCCAACAGTGAGAGGCCCACGTACCGCAAAAAAAAAAAAAAAAAAAAAAAAAGGTCATGAAAGGAAATTTATTTAATAACTGCTCGATTATGAATGGCATGGGGTAGATTTACAAAATTCAGACCCTATTGCAACGAAAAATACTAACCCCAAATCTTTTATATCAAAAAAGTTAGACCTAGAATCAGAGATAAGCATATTGAGGTGTTATTTGGAAGAACAGAGCATAGTTAACATTTCATTTTGCTGCGTCACTGCAAAGTTGACAGGCGTCCCAAATGTAGAGCATAGACACATCTTTTATTCACTGAAACTTCAACCAGGCACAAATACACCAGATTAGGGAAACACATTGCCACATATATCTTCTATATGCTAAGTGTTTTATATTCATTATCTAATTTAATATTCATTACCTAAAAGGTAGCTGTGGTTACCTTTCTCCACTTTATAGATGAAGACTTTGAGGCTCAGAAAGATTTAGTATGTGATACTAAATCACATACTAAATCACATACAGTGATAGAGCCAGGATCTGAATCTACGTCTATCCAGCGCCAAAGCCTGTAGTGCCACTGTCCTTTGGAATATAAACCTTCAAGAACAGTCCTAGAATGACGCGATTCTGGAGGCAATGAGGCCAAGAAGAAAAAGGAGGAGAGGGACTTCCAGGAGGTCCAGTGGTAAAGAATCCGCCTCCCAATGCAGGGGACACGGGTTCGATCCCTGGTTGGGGAACTAAGATCCCACATGCCACAGGGCAACTAAGCCCGCGTGCCACGACTACTGAGCTCAGGAGCCTCAACGAGAGAGCCCATGTGCTGCAAACTGCAGAGCCCATGCGCCACAATTAGAGAGAGAGAAAAAAAAATCCGCATGCCACAACTAGAGAGAAGCCTAAGCGCCACAATAAGGAGCCCTTGCGCTGCAACTAAGACCTGACGCAGCGAAAAAAAATAAAGAGGAGAAGTTCTACTGATTGCTAGAAAATGATGTAAGCTCTGCAGGTGACAAGAAGGTAAGACGAGCCTGATCCTTTTGCCTCTAACATCTTCAAGGAAAATGATCTTCAATCTGGAAAGGGAAGAACCAAAGAAGAGACAGAGCCCCACATGGCTGAATCAAGAGTTTAATTCTTAAGGATCATACGTTGATATCCAAGGCACAAAGGAACTTGCAAATGTCACCTAAGCATCCTTACCAATAACCTTGAGAAATCATGAAGAAGAGGTTATTAATAAGAAGAACAGAGATAGATAAATGTTATTCTAATTTTCAAGGAAAAAGAAAGTTGTAAATCAACTACAGATTAACATTTTCAACTGCTAACTGAACCTCCTCCTAGGTATTGCTAATGTAACTGAAATTCTGTAAGTCCAATAGGGAACCCATCATTTTCCCTCTCAAAATCTGTTCCTCTTCCTGAATACTATGGCTTCATCAAAGGCACCTTAGTCTAACCAGCCATTCACTAGAAACCTTAGGATCATCCTGAACATGCCTGTGTACCAACTTCAGACGCTAACCTATCTTAAATCCTTTTTCTCCTTCCCATCTCTACTGCCTCAGTCCATTGTTTCCTAACAGGACCATCTGACAATGTTCACCCTTGCCCCAGCTTTGCTGTTCTGTGGACAGTGCTTCACATTGCTTCCAGAAACATCCTGATAAAGATCTGCCCGCCCCCGCCACCGCCACTCAACTCTCTGTCTACATTTTCCACACTCTCAAATATACCACGTTAACATTTCAGTCACTCCAAACACCCTGAGATTTCCTAAAAGTACCATGCACTCACACTCCTCTGGGTTTTATTACCCAGGCTGGCTCCCATTCTTAGATTACTCCTTCTCTTATTCTTCTTTCAAGACTAGGCTGAGAAGTCACTTCCTCCAGGCAGGCCTCCCTCACTGCCTCTGGCCTCCTCTGTGCATCCACAGTGCCCACTGTGTGACCTGTGACAGATCTTTGGCCACACGTCTCCCTCCTACTACTCCGCCAGCAAATTATGAAGAGGGACTGCAGTCATCGTGGCATCCCAGAGCCTAATATGATGGTTGGCACACAGAAGGGGCTCAAAATTATTTGTTGAATATTGAATGAATACATTGTGAAAATTAATGAATGAGCCTGATTTTCATCATTTGCAAAATTTATAAAGAGAGTTGGGGAATCAAACTAGGTAGACCAAAAGCAAATCTGGTCAACCTTCACTTTTTTTTTCTTTCTTAAATTTATTTATTTATTTATTTTTGGCTGCATTGGGTCTTCATTGCTGCATGTGGACTTTCTCTAGTTGTGGCGAGCAGGGGCTACTCTTCATTGCGGTGCGTGGGCTTCTCATTGTGGTGGCTTCTCTTGTTGCAGAGCATGGGCTCTAGGCGTGACGGCTTCAGTAGGTGTGGCACGTGGGCTCAGTAGTTGTGGCATGAGGGCTCAGTAGCTGTGGCTCATGGACTTAGTTGCTCTGTGGCATGTGGGATCTTCCTGGACCAGAGCTCGAACCTGTGTCCCCTGCATCGGCAGGCGGGTTCTTAACCATTGCACCACCAGGGAAGCCCCTTTCCTTCTTTTCTATTTCAACATTTTGATCAGTGACCAGGTGAAGGTGTGGGAAAAATATGAGTGACCACGCTCAGAACACTGAATACACCAGACATGCTGTGCTAATAAGCACTTCACATGGTGGGTCTCACTTAACCTTCACAGCGACCTGGCCAGGCAGCTTGTAGCCCCATTTGGTGGATAAGATTTAGGTGAGGAGGAGATAAGAAACTTGCCCACCGTCCCTCCTCCCCGCTGAAGTCTGCCCCTGGTCATAGTGATTTTTATCCGTTTTGCATTCACAGAACTTATGATTTTTATCTTCTCTTTCTGTCTCCTAAAATTAATTTCTGTGGTCTCACAAACTCTGTGACATGTCTGCCGGAAACTGATTCTTGGACTCTTCCCACGTCCACCCCCTGACTTTTTTTGGTTTTTTTTTTGCATGGTTAATGTTTGCATTTCCTTCTACCTCCCATAAACACTTAATAATTATGAGGCACCATATAAGTGAGTAGTACAGTGTAAAGATTATGTGTAAACTGGGGAAATAATAATGGAAGGTTATATATAATATATATAAAATTATATATATATATATATATATATATATAAAACGACAGGGTTCATTAGGCGAGTTCTCCATCATGTTTCAGGAAGTCAGAGACCTGGCCTGTGGAGAACACAGGTCTGTGTATGTGTGTGTTGGAGGGGAGCTGATGAAAAAAACCTGAATACTAAGGTATAAATGAGGCAGCAAATGAAGGAGGGTAAAGGCATCCCTTGTAGATACCCCAAACGACTGCAATGTTGTATTAAAACTACAAAACCCAGGCTTTCCTGGTGGTGCAGTGGTTAAGAATCCACCTGCCAATGCAGGGGACACGGGTTTGAGCCCTGGTCCGGGAAGATCCCACATGCTGCGGAGCAACTAAGCCCGTGTGCCACGACTACTGAAGCCCGTGCACCTAGAGCCCGTGCTCTGCAACGAGAAGCCACCACAATGAGAAGCCCGCGCACCGCAACGGAGAGTAGCCCTCGCTCACCGCAACTAGAGAAAGCCCGTGCGCGGCAACGAAGACCCAACGCAGCCAAAAATAAATAAACAAAATAAATAAATTTATTAAAAAAAAAATACAAAAACCAAAATTGGCCAAGACAAGCATTCTCACAGCTCCCAAGGTTCACAGGACTTCGGTACCTGGTGATGAGTTCCTCTGCGGCCTGTGAGCACAGCTGCATCTGAGACACCTCTTCTGTCGCCAGGTCAACTGCATGCTGGATGTACAAATGCGTTCGAAGAACTGGTTTACCAGAATCACACTTCTGCTTATCTTCCCAAGATTTCAGAGTGCTTTCAAAGGCCTATTTAAAATCAATGTTGCAATGAACTGTTAGTTTAGATCTCCGAGGCCCAAATAAATGTGTATTTAGATAGTACGTGAATGACTTTGAAATTACTATTGTTTTCCCTAATCTAACACCTCATTAAATCTATTATAAGTACAGAAAAGATATTTTAAAGTTTTCTAGTGGATTGCAACTAATAGAAAGTAATGTAATTGATGACGATGATTATATGACTGAAAAGTTTAAAAAAAGACAGCTTCAATTTATGCTTCAATATTTACTATTATATGCATAACAGACAGGATGGCTATTGCAGCCTTATTTGTTATGGGTGTGACCTTAATTAAGAATACATATTCTGGGGACTTCCCTGCTGGTGCAGTGGTTAAGAATCCGCCTGCCAATGCAGGGGACAGGAGTTTGATCTCTGGTCCAGGAAGATCCCACATGCCATGCAGCAACTAAGCCCACGTGCTGCAACTACTGAGCCCACCCGCTGCAACTACTGAAGCCTGTGTGCCTAGAGCGCCTAGAGCCCGTGCTCTGCAACAAGAGAAGCCACCGCAATGAGAAGCCTGCACACCACAACGAAGAGTAGTCCCCGCTCGCTGCAACTAGAGAAAGCCCGCGCACAGCAACAAAGCCCCAATGCAGCCAAAAATAAAATATAATTTAAAAAAAAATACAGCTTTTGGAAAAGGCAAAACTATAAAGACAGTAAAAAGATGGGGTTGCCAGGGTTGGGATAAGAGAGGATGGGTAGGTGGAGGACAAGTGATTGTACATTTGTCAAAACCTATAGAATGCAGAACACAAAGAGTAATGTAAACTACTATTTTAGTTAATAATAATGTATCAATAGTGGCTCATCAGCTGTAATAAATGTACCACACTAAAGCAAGATGCTAAGGGGAACATACTAGGGGAATATAATAGGGGAATAGGGAGGTGAGGAGGTATTTGGGAATGGAATCAGAATTCTCTGTAGTTTCGGCTCAATTTTCCTCTAAACCTAAAAAAATAAGGTAATTATTTTAAGAACTAAATAAATATTTGTTCATATTTTAAAGCACGATCTAAATGTCAGACTTAAAAGACAATTTAAATCTTTTCCCTTGGTTTCTATTTTTCAAAACAATTTAAGATTTTTTTTAAAGGAAAATTTAGAAGAATGTTTTTTTGTTACATACCCTGTCCCTTGTGAGCATCTGAGCTCTGTTTTTGTGCACAATTTTGATAATCCCTGGAGGCTGAACCCATGCTTCGCCATCCACCTGCACTGGGACTCCCTCATCACCAAATATAGTGATTTTTACTGTACGGCACTGAAATAAAACAAGTTATTTTAGAGTACAAATCATCCTGAGAAGCTGACACTCAGTCTTGTATTCACACTTGACTTTTAATCCCTTCTGTGGAATGTAATGTTATGCTTTTCCACTTAGGATAACACGGTAACAACTGACATGACAAGAAAGTCCATTATTTTACAGATGAATATACAGTGTAGGAGTCATTTGGAATAGCTTTCTCAGTGGCCCAAGTAGTGAAGTCAGGTTTGAGTAGAGAAACCAACCTGGGCTATTCGATGGTGCTGCAGTTTAATGACCCTTGAAACTGCCATTTGCACACTATCAAATATTGCAACAACTTCCAGGATCTTGTCATCAAATGATGGTGCAGCAAATATCTGAAAGAAAAACCGACATTACACTTCCATTGATAAAGTTAAGGTTTAGGGGAAGTGGCACTTCAAGCAATGTAAACTCTGTAACATACATATTTTTAAAAACTTATAAAAACCATTAGCAGAAAGGTAAGTAAATATTATTATGAAATGCTAATCCAAGGACAAAAAAAAAATCACTGAACATAGCTTAAAATAAACAAACACGATAAAAATGTTTTAAAACCCACACAGATAAAATACTCCATGCCCCTCTTATAAAGCTCTCATACGACCAATGAACTAATATATTTCCAAATAATTCATCTTGATATAGGATGTATTAAATACCTGTTCATAGTAACTCAGATATCTTGATACAATGATGCATGCAATTTTAGGAAACTTTAAAATTTCAAAAGGTGATGCAGATTTCATAAAGTTAAAGCTAATGAACATGCAAATTATGATCCAGTTCACTTGATATGTTCTAAGGGAAATCTTTCAAGGTGTTACAAGCAATGTGCGTATGTGCTTTATATCTACAACTTTTCCGCGCATCTGAGAACATGAAAATAAATCTCAAAGGATGAAAACACGTGGGCTTACTTTGCTTTGATGTTAAATGCATTTTCACAAAATCAACTTAACCTAAAACTTTTCAATTTCAGCTGTATTACTTTGTTCCTTTTATGTTCTCTTTTACTATAACATAAATAATTATGCCTCTGAAAAAATATTCAGTATAAAGTAGTATCATAATTAAAATTTTTACTGAAAATATCAGGACACAAATTTGGGAACTTTTCGTTATCAGACTGCCTGGTTTTAAACCCTGTCTCTTCTACTTATGAACTGTGTGAACTTTGTGTCAGTTTCTTCACTGATAAAATTTAGATAAAAATTGAGGGTATTAAGTTATGAATGTGAAGCTCTCAGAATCCTGTCTGCCTATCTTTATTTATCTTAATCTCACTGATTTCTTCTCCTTAAAATATTTAAGAGTGATGATGGGCTGACAAATAATTGGTTGCTAATTTAAATTTTTATACTCCAATAGGATTGGAATATATTCATATTATGAAAATTAAAAATACTTTCCAATTTATTTTACACTTAAATCCCTGCCTGCACATTTAAGAGCCCTGAGAAATTTGTTCAGTGGAACCACTACATCACGAGCTTCAAATCAAAGGGCTTACCATTCAGTGTACGTGACTCTTCAAAGATCATGGTAAACCTCTCATTTTTATTGTTATATATACTTTCATAATTGTGCCTTCTCTCATTATCTTTAGGACAAATGCATTTCTTTTTTTTTTTTTTTTGGTGCGTGGGCTTCTCATCGCAGTGGCTTCTCTTATTGTGAAGCACGGGCTCTAGGCGTGCAGGCTCAGTAGTCGCAGCACGCAGGCCCTAGAGCACGCGGGCCTCAGTAGTTGTGGCACACGGCCTTAGTTGCTCTAAGGCATGTGGGATCATCCCAGACCAGGGCTTGAACCCGTGTCCCCTGCATTAGCAGGCGGATTCTTAACCACTGCGTCACCAGCGAAGTCCCCAGAACAAATGCATTTCTTAGGTTGTGTTTTTTTCTTTTTTAATACAGGAAAGTGTAAAACCAAAAATAGCCCTAAACCTCAATGGCCAAATGAGCCCTTTGACATTCCTAAAACTTAAAATAATAATATAAATCTGGAAAATTAAAGGTATAGAAAGGTATTTTGGTAGGCAGAATAATCTCTTCCCTGCCGTCCAAAATGTCCATGTCCTAATCCCTGGAACCTGTGAATGTTACCTTACATGGCAAAAGAAACTTTGCAGATGTGATTAAATTAGGGACCTTGAGATCGGGAGATTATGCTGGATGATCTGGGTAGGCCCAGTGTAATCACAAAGATCCTTAGAAGTGGAAGAGGGAGGCAGAAGAAGAGATCAGAGTAAAGCAACGTGACAAGGACTCAGCCACCTTTGTTGGCTTTGAAGATGGAGGAAGGAACCATGAACCAAGGAATGTGGGCAGCTTCTAGAAAGAGCAAGGAAATACTTACATCATCTTCTTTAGTTCCGCCCCAAAAGTTAGTGCCTCCAGCGTAGCTGGGAATGTTCAACACTGCTATCCCTTGAAGACTGGGGAGAGGAATATACTGCCCATCACACTGTAAGGTCAAAAGCTTAGAGGTCAGATAAAAAGAGCAAAACCACAAGTTTGGAAGATACTAGAATACCAACGACAAAGGACGATGGAGGAAGGTTTGTGCATAATGTGTGCTTTCCTGTAAATATATTCCTCCACATTACCTTTATCTTATTGTTTTAATTTAAAAATTTTTAAAGGGTAAATAATTATAGCCGAAGTTGTTACAGAAAACCAAATTGAAAACAGTGTTTTACAAAACAACCGAAGTGTCCACTGACAGATGAATAGATTAAAAACGTGTGATATTATAAACTTGTGATATAGATATAAATGGACTATTATTCAACGATGAAAAACAAGGAAATCTTGCCATTTGCAACAACATGGATTGGCTTGAGGGCATTATGCTTAGTGAAGTAAGTTAGATAGAAAAAGACAAATACTGTATGATCTCACTTATATGTGGAATCTAAAAACAAAGCAAACAAACAAGTAAAATTAAGCTCATAGATACAGAGAACAGCTTGATGGTTGCCAGAGGCAAGGGGGTAAGGGGTGGGCAAAATGGGTGAAGGGAATCAAAAGGTACAAACTTCTAGTTATAAGATAAATAGGTCACTGAAATGTAAAGTACAGCATGGCGACCATAGTTAATACTCTAGTTAGAGTATGTGAAGGTTGCTAAGAAAATGGATCTTAAAAGTTCTCATCACAAGAAAAAAATTCTGTAACTGTGTATGGTGATATTTATTAACTAGACTTATTGTGGTGATCATTTTGTAATATATATAAAATATTGAATCATTATCCTGTACAGCTGAAACTAATATAATGTTGTATGTCAATTATACATCAAAAAAAGAAAAGGAAAACAAATGTTTTACCTCTTCTTTCCTCCAAAATCAGGCAGTACTTTTCATGAGTCTCTCCCAAGTCACTTAAGATATTCTTAATTGCATAACAGTCATCTTTGTTCTTACTTTAAACATTGAAAGCAGGCTCTTTGAGGGTAAACTCTGGCTCCTAACCATCTCACCTAGCACCTCTCACACTCTCTGGTAGTTTGCTTGTGCTCTGTAACTAACTGGTGACTAGCTAAACTCAAGACTGCGCTTTTTAAGGAAAAAACATGTATGTCAGAAAGCACTTTACACTCCATGCCTTCTAATTAATCACGTAAATGAAAATGAATTACCACTTAAATTAAAAGAAACATACAATATCACATAGCTGGCAAAGTAATTACATATGACATATGAGTAAATTCTTACCGAACAGAAGGTTTAAGCTTTCGTTTTTAAGAGAGGAGTTTGCAGATGTCATACTTAAAACAGATGCTATATTTTCATTAAGTAATTCCCAAATTTAAAAATAATTAACATAATTTTAGAAAAATTGCATTTTAATGCCCGATGAAAATTATCCTCAACCTTCAGAACAAATGAGAATCCGGTGTGAACCCACTTTTCAAATATTTTAAATAACTGAGAATACTTCCTAACACTAACCCTTACAGGTGTTTTTACAACCTTTCTTTTCTTTTACGTAAAAACACATTCAAAGGTCCACACTGTATCTAGGCACCTAGGGCCATTCCTGGCACATAACTGGTGATCAATGTGTATTTGTTAAATGAAAATATTTAGTTGAATAATAAACTTTTTTCTGAACCCAGAAATTGAACAAATATCTTTGTGTGCTTTAGAAAAAAAGTCATATGGCTAACAAAGGAAATGGAAAAAATGCTATCTCTGTAAATATAAAAGGCATATTTAAAAAAAAAATTCAGAGCAGTCCTTAAAGATTTTATAATGGATACACTATTTGCAAGCATAATATGGAAAAAGATGAAAGCTGTCAGAAGTTCCATATACTTTGCTGAGTTTAATATATATGCATTAGGCCAAACACCCATGGTTAAGAGCTTAATACCCATTTCATAGAGTCTCATAGGGAAAATATGAGCAGGACAGATTCAATAAATTAAGGTCACCTGACTCAACTGTTTCTCTCATATTTGGGAGTAACTTCAGTAATGTTACATTCTTTTATAATCTTCTCTATCTCCCCACATTTCCACTTGTGGTTCATAATGTGGCAAAATGCTTTAAACCTGCAGCTACGCTTTTTTTTTTTTTCTGATTAGTGTCTGCTTTTTCTGCTCCTTTCACTAGGCAATGTGGTGTCCTGGGAAGATAGTGGGCCCGTTTTGAATTCTGTCACTTATTTGGGCAAGAGCCTTAAACTTTCAGAGCCTCATTTTGCCATCCCTTGTCCATATAGTGTGGCCAATAAGGTAAGGGACAGGAAAGCATCTAAAACACATAGTAAACAGTCAGTAAATGTCTTTCTTCAGTCATAATTACGAATTAATGTTTTATGGGGAAAAAACATTGGAGTTGAAACTTTGGCTTCTCCATTTATCAACTGTTTGATTTTAGTTAGGCAAGTGACTTCATGCTTCTGAAATAACTAATAATACCTGCCTCATAAAGAATGAAAATAACAACCTCATAAAGTTTAAGAATTAAAGGTGATTTGTATTGATAGGAAGCATTTAGGAAACTTCAATTATTATAACATGACTTAAAATATAGCTATAATAATTATTTTTGAATGAACTAAACAAAGATAGAAAGTACTATTATATAACAAGCCAAATTTAACAAATTATGGAGACATCTGTTATGAGATTATGGAAATATGTGAAATTACAAAAAACATGAAGTAAAAAACATGCATTAACTATTTGTTATCATGTATTTCATTATAGATTACAGGTGAACATTGTTTTTTTCTTTCATGTATCTTAGTATTTAAAGGACTCAAAACAGTATTTGATCATTATTTCACTTAAAAAACAGAACAAGCTGTGAGATACACGTAAATTAGGTATATCTGGACAGAAAAGTCATCCTTAAGAAAAAAATTTGAATCTTAACGACAGTTTTCATTCATAGGTCAAAGGTGTTTCTACTCTAAAATTAGGAAAATTTGATGTTACAATGTTATTCTGCATTTCTGGCATTCCCATGATTGTAGAGAGGATTATAAACCTTACTCAAATGTTCTAAAACTCCGGTATGTATCAGATTCACAGTTTATGTGACTTGAAAACAGGGTTTATATTTGCATAATTCTTTTCAGTTTAAACTGTGATTTCTTGAACATTAGATCGATGAATTATGATTCTGCACAAAAGCATTATTTTATCCATTTTGCAGATGGAGAAACCAAGGTTAAAGTCTTTCTTCTGCACAAAGTCAGGACACGACTTCTTCCATACAACACAACAGGGAAAGGAAAACTTCTGAGCAAAATGTTAAGAGTTTTTTTAACAACTGGCACCTGGTGAAAGGGACCTCTCTGGGCAGAGTTTCCCAAGCCTTGGGTCTTCTCTACCTTTATCCCAAGGGATCCGGCATCAGGGAAATGAATTTTTAAACAACGGACCTTCCATAGTCCTCAGGGGTAGCAGGTGTTTTGTTTGTTTATTTTTAACTCTGGCAAAGAATTCTCTAATTTTTCTACTTTACCTTTTGTGTACATTAACATGCTTTCATTTATCTTGTTTTACTAAATTTACTTCCCTTTTAATCATTCAACATAAACTTCTATGTTAAATGTTTTATTTGTGGATAGATTCAGATAGATTCAGGGGGTCTGTTAACTGGAATGGTAAAAACTTTTCTCGTATGGTCAGCAACCTCTGAAATTTAGCCTTGCACTCAATTATAAACGTAGATAGCAATCCACATATTAGCAATACCCGTGACATCATCACCATTAGAAACAGATGTTTTCTATTGTATTACAGATGTTTCAGATATCTCTTAAGATCTCTGTTCATCATTACTTCAAAAGTATGGTACTTATTATATATGCTGTTAGATGTTTGTCATTTTACGTGGCAATGAAGAAACACATATAATACTCTATAACACTTTAAAAAATATTTTGTTAATTTATTTCAATATTATTTTCTTTTGTATGTATATATATTTAACTAATGCTTTAAAAATAATATTCTGAGAAGGGGTCCATAGTTTCACTAGCATGCCAAAGGGGTCCACAGCTCAAAAAGTGTTAAGAACCTCCGCTAAATGGAGATTACAAAGCAGCTGTGTAGGATATTGTTCAGAATTTGGACCACTAATAAAAAAGGACACAAGTAGTACTTCTGAAGAGCTGAAGGCTCTTCCAGAAATGAACGCAATGGAGTCATTCTGATTCCAGATAGTTCCCTAAATCTTAAAGATGCCCAGCTATGGGTCTCGATCACAGCACTTAACAAATTAGGGTAAAATGATCATTTGCCTATTTCCTTCTCAAGTCAGGGCCAGGAACTGTGCAAGACAATGGGGATAACAAAGATGAACACAACTTCCTACCTGGCCTTAAGGAGAGTGTGGCTGACTAGGGGATGTGAATAAAGAAAATGAACGATTACACTACAATCCATAGGCAAGAACCCAAGTTGAGTGACGGATGGGGCTGCCAAGGATAGTGTTTACTAAGTGGGAGCCTTCCTCATTTTGTACCTTTTCAGCCAGTAACATCTATCTTAATTTTACAAGCAATGATAAATCAAACCAGCTGATCATGTAGTTATGCTCTAGAGTGGAAGGGAGAACAGGATTATCTTTACTAGGACATTTAGTTGATAATGAATGAGCCGGGCACCTCTTGTTAGTCTACGTTCCACTATCAAGATAACACCTAAAATAAAAATGTCCTGTTTAATACACTGAGTTGTCAACTTAAGATTTGCACACTTTTCTGTATGCAGTCTATACCTCAATTTAAAATATCTAGTTATAAAAAGATACAAGATAGGAAAGACATGCTTATCAGCATAAACAGTGAGCCCTGGATCAAAGGTGAAAGAAAATAACATTCTAAGAAAGCAGTAGACTTTTCAGAGTCATGTCCCCAATTTTCTTTTGCCTGTTAATCAGAGATTAAACAACTTTTGCTGTCCTTAATTTACTATTTAAATTAGTTTAAAAATACTAAAAAGTTTAAATGCTCAAAATCTCTTTTCATTTAAGTAACTTGTTAGAGATATTTAAAACAAAAAATACATTTAAATCAAAAGTTCTATTTACTATGATATTTTCAGGGATTTGTGAAACTGCAGGCATTATAGAATTGGGTCAGAATTTGGAAACTTAAAATGGAAAAATCTGTTTAAAATGCTATCCTGGGGACTTCCCTGGCGGTCCAGTGGTTAAGACTTCGCCTTCCAATGCAGGGGGTGCAGGTTTGATCCCTGGTCAGGGAGCTAAGATCCCACATGCCTCTCGGCCAAAAAACCAAAACATAAAAAAACAGAAGCAATTGGGCTTCCCTGGTGGTGCAGTGGTTGAGAGTCCGCCTGCCGATGCAGGGGACACGGGTTCGTGCCCTGGTCCGGGAAGATCCCACATGCCGCGGAGCGGCTGGGCCCGTGAGCCATGGCCGCTGAGCCTGCGCATCCAGAGCCTGTGCTCCGCAACGGGAGAGGCCCCAACAGTGAGAGGCCCGCGTACCGCAAAAAAAAAAACAAACAAAAAAAAACAGAAGCAATATTGTAACAAATTCAATAAAGACTTTTAAAATGGTCCACAACAAAAAACATCTTAAAAAAAACGCTATCCCATATATATGTACTTCCATGGCCCTACCATTTCACAGAGCACCTCAATTCCATAAGAACATCCAAATTTCAGGATCTAACAACAACGGTAATCGTGTCACGTATATCCAGTGTCTATACCTCCTTTGGTGTAAAGTTGATAACCACGTTTATTTTTTTCCCCTCGAGTGTTTAAACACTATTCAAGAGAAACTGAGGCCAAATCAGCTCCACAAATAAATCTTTTTTTTTTTTTGAAAGTAAGATAATCTGAAATGTCTTGACTTCTAGATGAACTGACCTCAAGTTGTACTCTCTGTTCCAAATTCTTGTACGATCTCTGTAATAACTCCCGGGTTCCAAGGACTCCATACCACATCAGGTTTTTAGTTCGGCTCCTGAAAATAAATGTTGGCAGAGAATTTCAGTATAACTATTATTTATTTACTCTTGAAAGGCAGAGAGAGCAAACGAGGTAATAAACGAAATTAAAGTAAAATTGCCTTTGCATAATTACATTATTGCTATTACCAAAATTACCTGCATTTTTCAGGGTGCTCCTCTCTCTTATTATTAAATTCTAATGAAATTTTTGCATCTAATCCAATCCCAAAGTAATTGTTCATGACACATTTTTCTGAATATCCATCTCTATAGTAAGGAAAAGTACATAAAAGTCAATTTCAGGTTCCTAAAAACAATTACAATCTGCACACAAAATAGCACTTAACACCATTCAAGCCTCCATTTCTTATAGAAGAGAGGAAAGCTTAGCAGGAATCATTTCCTATTCATATGCCATGCGCACGACCCCAGTACATGTCTGTGATTTTCAGTACATATGATGTAAAGTGATGGTGGGCAGGGCAAAGCAGAGACAGAGTCATGGTAATGCTTTTCTATTAATTGTAACAAAATCTTAGTTCTACCTCCTACATAAGCCCCTCACTACGCGCACAAATGGGAGTGCCTTGCAGTCAGATGTCAATTGTCCTCTTTTTTTAATTAGAAAGTCTTCTCCACACTTGTACTTTTATTGAACATTTATTGAGCAGAAAACAACTAGATCGAGTCCCTTCTTCTAGGTGCTCTGGAAAGTAAATACAAAGGAGTAGTGTCCTTCAAGAGTGTCATTAGAGAAATGAGACATAACAAAAGCAAAATTAAATATGGAAGTAAAAAGAAGTACATATTGAACAGCTAATTTTTTTAAGGCGTTTTGAGAAGGGAAGGGACCAATGTGGGCCAGAAGCTTTCCAAAATAAGTAAACCTAGAGGCCGAATGTGGAAAGATGGCAGAATTGGCAAGACGGAGAAAAAATGAAGTGAAAGGAATAGCCAAAATGGGAGTATGAAGGCAGTGATGAATAAAATATTCCAGGGAAAAGTGTGCAGAGCTGTGACTCACTTCGCCATTGGGTTGTTATCCAAGACCACAGACTGGAAGGGACCTACCTCAGATCATGAAAACCACTGTATTTCAAGTGGGTCAACGTACTCATCATTATCGACTTTTGAAATTTTCTGATGATCCTTTTTAGATGTGAAACTATATTTACTGCAATGCATTTAAAATGTTACCATTTGTATAAAACAGAAACAAAGAAAGCCAAAACAAAATATTTGCAGAAGTATTTTCTTACACTGAATCTGGATCTGGGTCAATAAATGGCGTCGCACCGAAAGGATCAATATTTGCTAGTAACATTTTGTTGATAATAGAACTCCCAGCAATTGAGGCAGCTAGTCCTGCTCTTAAACCTGGATGGAAAAAAATACAGGATCGCATGTTAAGAGAAAAACAGAAAGAGCCAGTCCATTGTTTTTAGACCTAATCAGAAACACCTTGCTCCCAAAGCATGGCTTTCAGTGTCTGTTCTTCTCATTAATCATAACTAAGAACTATGACGTTGGTGAATACAAGGTTTTTTTTAAACTTTTTATTTTATATTGGAGTCTAGCCGATTAACAATGTTGTGATAGTATCAGGTGCACAGCAAAACAACTCAGCCATACATGGTAAATACAAGGTTGTTGATGCTTCTTGGGATCTATATGTTGTCATAAAAAATGAAGCAGGTGAGGACCTAAACAGGAATCTCTTTGTGACAGTTTCTTATTTACCATCAATGATTCTGTAACTTCAACAAGTAAATATTACTTCCTTTTTATTAGCAAATAAGGTAGTAAGCCTGTAAGGAATTTACAATAAAGGCTGAATTATCCAGAATGTCATAGAGTTATCACTTCCATACTCTCAAAGCATAGATAACGATACTGAAGTAAAAATGTTGACATGCTAAAGTGAAAATTCAGTTTTGGTGTCAAGAATAAGTAGCAAAATATTAAACACAGGTACTTATGAATTTTAGAAGAATACAGTATTGAACATAAAAATGAAGCATTTATATTACCTCTAAATATGCAAAACTTCAAATTTCTTTCAACTAGTTAGCTTTCGACTAACTAGTTATGGTATTCAAAGCTAACGAATTTTATGATCTACAAACCCAATATTAAGGCTAGAAGCACTAAAGTCTGGCGAGAAGACAAAGGAATAGGGACCCAGGGGAACAGACTGACAAAAAGGAAAGAATAGTTCAGAAAAATGTGTCACGCAACTGAGAAACACGAGGAAAAGAAGTCCTTTCGTTAGCAAACATTCCTTTCCTCAACAATGTGCTCCTCTTAAAAGACGTTCATTATTTTAGCTACGAAGTTTAGCTGATTATCAAATAATCAAGATGAATTTTATTCTGTCATTTAATTTCATAGTTTTGAATATGCAATGGTATACTCTGCTATGCCAGTTCCCTTTATGTCTAAATAAGTAAACAGATGAACAAAACAACCACGCTGGTGAGAGAAAAGAACAGTTTGAAGGGGTGAAGGGTCATATTTCAGATGCCCCATAGAAAAGTACAGTATTTTCTAAAATGTTTTAAGGTTAGCCATATTTACAGCTTCAGCCCAGAAAGGTTCATCCCAGGGCTCCAGGTTTGAAGAGAGATATGACCTCTAGACATGGAAGCCTTTCCAGAACCAAATGTGTTCTAGATTTATCTTTTTTATTTTAATATTTTCATTAAGATATAATTTACGTACCATAAAATTCACCCCTTTCAAGTATATAATTCAGTTGTTTGTAGTATATACACAAAGTTGTGCGGTGATCACTATTAATCGAGAACTTTTTATTACTCCCCCAAAGAAACCCCTTACCCATTAGCAGTCATTTTCCATTCCTCCCATTGCCCCCTGTTCTCAGATCCTGGGAACCACTAAACTATCTTCTTTCTCTGTGGATTTGACTATTCTGGACATTTCATGTAAATGGAATCATATAATATGTGCCTTTTTGTGTTGAGCTTCTTTTGCTTGGCATAATGTTTTCAAGGGTAATCATGTTGTAGCATATATCAGTGCTTCATCCTTTTAATGGTTGACTAATATTCCATTGTATGGATATACCACATTTTGTTCCTCCATTCATCAACTGATGAATATTTGGGTTGTTTCCACTTTTTGGCTACTATGAACAATGTTGCTAAAAACAGTCATGTACCAGTTTTTGTGCAGACATGTATTTTCAGTTCTTATGGGTACATATGTAGTAGTAGAGTTTCTGGATTATATGTTAACTCTGTGTTTAACCCTTTGAGGAACTGCCAAACTGTTTTCCAAAATGGCTGCACCATTTTACATTCTAACCAGCAGTGTATGAAAGTTCCAATTTCTCCATGTCCTCGCCAATATTTGTTATTATCTGTCTCCTTTTGATAGTCATCCCAATAGGGTAAAGTGGTATCTCATTGTGGATTTGACTTCATTTCCCTGTGAGTAATGATGTTGAGCATCTTTTCATGTGCTTATTGGACATTTGAATAACTTTCAGGGAAAATGTCTACTCAGATCCTTTGCCCATTTTTAAATTGGGATATGTCTTTCTATCGTTGAATTTTTAAGATTTATCTATATATCTTGGATGCTAGTCCTTTATCAAATATATTATTTGCAACTATTTTCTCCCATCCTGTGGATTGTCATCTCACTTTCTTGATAGTGCCCTTTGATTCACAAAAATCTTTAATTTTAGTGAAGTCCAATTTATCTATTTTTTTCTTTTATTGTTTGTGTTTTTGGAGTCATGGCTAAGAAACTATTGCCTAATTCAAGGTTATGAACATTTATGTCTATGTTTTCATTTTATAGTTTCATATTTTTAGCTCTGACCTTTAAGTCTTTTATCCATAATGAGTTAATTTTTATATATGGTGTAAGGCAGGGGCCCATCATAATTCTTTGCATGTGAATATCTAGTTGCCCTGGTACCACTGATTGAAAAGACTATTCTTTCCTCATTAAATAATTGTCTTAGCACATTTGTTGAAAATCAATTGACCATAAATGTAGGGGTTTACTTCTGGACTTTCAGTTCTATTCTATTGATCTATATGACCATTTTCATGCCAGCACTATGCAGTTTTGATTACTGTAGCTTTGGAGGAAATTTTGAAACCAGAAAGTGTGTTTCCTTCAACTTTGTTCTTCCTTTTCAAGACGTTTCAGCTATCCTGAGTCCTTCATATTTCCATTAAGAATTTTAAGGTCAGCTTATCAATTTCTTCAAAAAAGGCAATTGTGATTTTGATAAGGGTTGTGTGGAATCTTTAGCTCAATTTGAGGAGAGCTGCCGTCTTAATAATATCTAGTCCTCTGATCCATGAACACAGATGTCTTTCAATTTTGTTAGGTCTTTTAAAATTTCTTTCAACAATGTTTTGTAGTTTTCAGTGTTCAAATAGTTCAGCTTCTTGGTTAAATTTACTCAGTTTTTTGGGTTATTTTGGATGCTACTGGAAATTATTTTCTAAAGATCTTCAGACTGTTCATTACTAGTGTGTAGAAATACAATTATTTTTTATATATTTCTCTTTTATCTTGCAACCTTGTTGTTTTTGTTTATTAGCTCTAATTTTGCACGCGCGCGCATGCGCGCATGCGTGTGCGTGTGTGTGTGTGTGTGTATATTCCTTAGGATTTTCTATATACAAGGTCAAAGTGTGAAGAGATACAGTTTTGCTTTCTCCTTTCCAATTTGAATGCCTTTAATTCTTTTTATTTTGCCTAATTGCCTAAGCTAGAAGCTCCAACATGGCTGAATAGAAGTGGCTAGTTTGGACATCCTTGTCTTGTTCCTAATATTAGGGAGAAAGGTTTCAGCCTTTCACCATTAGCCAAAAGGCTAAAAGATTTCAGCCTTTCACCATTATGAGGTTGGCTATAGGTTTTTCATAGATGCCCTTCTCAGGCTAAAGAAGTTTTTTTCTATTCCTAGTTTGTTGAGTGGTATTACCGCTAGAAGGTGTCGAATTTTTTTAAAATGCCTTTTCTGTATTTATTGAGATGACTGTATAGTTTTTGCTCCTTATTCTATTAAGATGGTATATTACATTGATTAATTTTCATATGTTGAATCAATTCTGCATTAGTAGGATACTATTCACTTGATCATGGTGTATAATTCTTTTTATATGTTGTTGGATTCAGTTAGCTAGGATTTTGTTGAGGATTTTTGTGTTACTATTCATCAAGGATATTGGTCTATAGTTTTCTCATGAGATCTTTGACTGGTTTTGGTGTCAGGGTAATACTGGCCTCATAGAATGAGTTAGAAAGTGTTCTTCCAACAACAACAACAAAAAGACACAAATGATCTTATTTCCAAAGCGGAAAGAGACTAACAGACAAAGAAAACAAACTTATGGTTACCAAAGGGGAAAGGGACGTGGTAGGAGGGATAAATTAGGAGGCTGGGATTAACATACACACACTACTATGTATAAAGTAGATAACCCACAAGGATCTACTGTATAGCGCAGGGAACTATACTCAATATTATGTAATAACCTATAAAGGAAAAGAATCTGATAAAGAATATATATATGAAACTGAATTGCTGTGCTATACACCTGAAACTTACATGATAATGTACATCAACTACACTTTAATAAAAAATAAATAAAATGTAAGTTAAGAAAAGTGTTCTTTCTTTTTCTAGTTTTTGGAAGAGTTTGTAAGGGACTGGTGTATTAATTCTTCTTTAAACATTTGGCAGAATTCACCAGTAAAGAAATTTGGGCCTGGGCTTTTCTTTGGAGGAAGCTTTTTGATTACTAATTCAATCTCTTTCCTTGTCATAGATCCAGCTAGATTTTCTATTTCTTCTTGATTCAGTTTCAGTAGTTTGCCTGTTTCTAAGAGTTTGTCCATTTCATCTAAGTTATCTAATTTGTTGGCATGCAATATTTTATAGTTTTTCCTTACAATCCTTTCTATTTCTGTAAGGTCCATAGCAATGTCTCCTCTTTCATTCCTGATTTCAGGAACTTGAATCTTCTCTCTTATTTCCTGGGTCAGTCTAGCTAAAGGCTTATCAGTTTTGTTAAACTGTTCACAGAACAAACTTCTGGTTTTATTGATTTTCTGTATTGTTTTATATTCTCCTATTTCACTTATTTCCACTCAAAACTTTATTATTTCCTTCCTACTGCTTGTTATGGGTTTGTTTACTCTTATTTTTCTAGTTTATTAAAGTAGAGAGTTAGGTTTTTGTAGTCATTCTACTTTTAAAATATAGACATTTAATACGTTTCACTCTAGCACTACTTTAGCTGCATCAAATAAATTTTGGTATGGTGTATTTTTGTTTTCATTCACACCAAAGTATTTTAAAAAATTTCTCTGTGATTTGTTTTTCTTTGACCCACTTACTTCCACGTATTTGTGCATTTCCCAAATTTCCTAATATATGGTCTATCTTGGAGAATCTTCCATATGCACTTGAGAAGAACGTGTATTTTGCTATCATTAGGTGGAGTGTTCTGTAGACATATTAGCTATACTTGTCTTATGTGTTTTTCAAGTTTTCTATTTCCTTCTTGCTGTCTAGTTGTTTTATTCATTACTGAAAGTGGGATAATAAAGTCTCCAACTATTATTATTGAGTTATGATTCACCTTTAAAAATAATTTGTAGGAGAAATTGATTTTCAGGGTGTAATTTGGGTTCCAATCTACTCTGGAATGAATCTGGAAAGTTTTCACTGAGTCAAACAAATGGTACTTAAGGAGACCTCTGAGACATCTACATTTACATCCCATACTTTCCACACAAGTCCTTTGGTTTCTGCTAATATTATGCTAATCCCAAGCCTTTATCCAGGGAAGGCTATGGAGATACATAAAAGGTAGTAGAATATAAGATCAAATTTACCATGAGTACTTAAATGCAGATTCCTGGGCTCCACTCTAGAACTACTCAATCAGAATTTCTCAGGGCAGGGTTCAGGAACACTTGCTTTAATACTTCCTAGGCAACTCTTGTACACACCAAAGTCTAAGGATCTGGACTCTGACTGACAAGAGTACCAAGAACATTTTCTTAAAGGAACATTTACCTTTAAGAACACATTTCTAGGGACTTCCCTGGTGGTTCAGTGGTAAAGAATCCGCCTTACAATGCAGGGGACACAGGTTTGATCCCTGGTCAGGGAGCTAAGATCCCACACGCCGCTGGGCAGCTAAGCCCACGTGCCGCAAACTACAAAGCCCACGTGCCCTGGAGCCTGCGCACCACAACTGGAGAAGAGAAAACCCGCACGCCACGACTAGAGAGAAGCTCACGCACCACGGTGAAGAGCCCACACGCCTCAACGACAGATCCTGCATGCCTGAACGAAGATCCCGGTGCCACAACTAAGACCCAGCACAGCCAAAAATAAACAAAAATAAATAAATAATAAATCTTAAAAAAAAAAAAAGAACACAGTTCTATAGTTCAGGAAAATGAATACTTATACGTTTTCACAGAAATACTTAAAAATACACCATGTTTCAGAATCTGTACTACCTGGGCAGATTATTCTGGTATTGAGCACTGGGAGGTTTTCTTTACTGGCTGCCACAGCAGGACCAGAGCCAGAGTCAGTTTGGGAACGACTTGCCCGGCCATCTGGAGACCGAGGTGCAGTTTTAACTGTTGGCAAAAAGTCCAGATTAAAAGGAGATAAAGTTATAAAAATAAGCAAGTCCTTATACACTCATGACATAAAACAATTTCATACATGTTTAATCAGTAGAACCAAAAATAATTACATTGTGTTTATTCTTTTACCATTTTCTGTTCATTTTCTTGGGATTTACTACGTGGAAGGAGTCTGCCACAGTGAGAAGTCTTGATCTCCCATTTTGAACAGATGGCAATTAATAAAAAATAGATGCTTACCATAATTAAAGGTCAGTGATACTCATAATTTGAATGTGAGAAACCCATTATTTAAAAAAAAGGAAATTCTGAAGCCTGACAATTTTTGAAAATGGAACATGTGTTGCAGTGTACACTACCAATGCAATCCTTTTCTCAAAAATGTTGGATAAATGATAAAATTTAAGGAATGTAATTCCCAGAGCTAACAGTGAAACATGAATAGCATTTTCTTCTACACTTGGAAGGAAAAATATTATTTTTTTCAAATGAAACCAATATACTTTTCCTGTACTTCCCAGTTAATTATTTACTCAAGACAATGATTTGTCCAAAACAGTTTTATCATATTTTTATAAAAGCTCAGTATGTTTAAAAATTTATTCTAAAACAGAATTACTCCCAAAGTAAACAACAAAAAGAGAGATTTAATTCTATCTAAACTGGGGCAATTTAATGGAGAGCAAATAGTATCTTTAATTTAGGAGCGATTGGCAGGTGTTTAAAAAAACAGTAATCCTCAAACTCAATTTAAAAATACTCTGAAACTTAATTATCTTTACTCTCCCTAAGACTAATTACAAACTAACTATATTAATCTTATACACACTCATCTCTCTCTTCAAAAACAGTCCAGGTGCACTAAAGAAAAGTAGCAGAACAGCCACTCTTTTTTTTTTTTTGACAGATGGGAGCCCTGGAACTAATTTCTAATAAAAAGAACCTTTTGATATTCATCTCTGATAAAAAACAGAGTGTGTCCTAGTGACTAAGATTGATCTTCCATTGCAGGTAACTAAATTAATGTTTCATGGTTCTTCTTAAACATAACATCTCATTGATCATATTAATGTGTATTTTGCACATCTCAGATGTACGAATTATTATATTATTCAATGATAATACAATGATATGCTTCAAAAAATTAATGATTAATACAGAAACACTTCTACTGGTACTGATTCCCACTAAATTGGATTACTAGCCAAAAAGTAAGATCAAATACTGCTCCATAAAGACTTGTATAATCTATGCCTATTTCAATAACAATATCTACACCACTATATCTGTATTTTTTTTGGTTTCCTTTGCAGGCTATAATGGAAGTGTCAAATTCATGAGAGTATAGTAAGGTGGGATGGTAGCTGGTTAGAAAACCATTACCAATGAGTGCTGAAAAACCAATCCTCCAAAGAGAGCCACTCTACATCCAGAATGAGTAGCGTACAGGTATCGGAGTATTCTTGCATTACAGAAATATCTGGAGAATATTGCTCAAAATGGAGCATCGTATTTTAATGGGGTATCATAGTGATCAAATGGGTGCAACCAGGAAAAAAAAGTATAAAATCATCAAATTAGATTGGTAAAACAATTTAGGAGAGAGAATCTGGAAAAGAAGATATAATGTGTGGGAAGAGACTATGATGCCATGAAATCTGTTTTCAGTATCATTTCAGGGCTGCCGCACAGCAGAGTCATCTTCAATATCGTGAAATGATGTGTGTAAAATTGCTTTTAAACTAGCCATAAAGCTCTACACAAATGTCAGTAGTTGTTACTGTTAACGTTATCATACATAAAAGTTTATTAATAATAACTGTAATCATGGGTAGAAATTTAAGGAAGAATATATAAAGCTCAATACATTAACAAAAGAAAAACTTCCTAAGAATTAGAGCTGACCGTAAGAGGGGGATGAAGCGAAAGTGAGTAGTCCGAAGGCTCAATGACCATCGGTCAAGGTTGTAAAATATGCCTGCGTTGGATTATATTCTGCAATGGGGCCATTTAAGGTCTAAAAGATCTAAGGTTATAAAATTGGGTTGTGTGCTGGAACAGGTACACGTAACGTCTAAAAGGACTAAGGATGTAGAATATAAAAGCACTGGATGTATGTCAGACATGTGAGGTCTATAATATGGTCTAATTTCAAAGTTTCTAAGAGTTTTAAATACAATTAAGAACTACTCTTTCAAAGTTAGTGTAGTTAGCAACAACAGCGGACGTGGTAGCAATAATCATAGTAGTGATGATGACAGCAAACATTCCTTTAGAGCACAATGTACCAGGTGCTATTTTTTAGGCACTTAATGTGTGTTAACTTATTGAAAGGTCACAACAAGTAGGTACATTATCATCATTTTATCACTATTATCGTTATAGCATTTCACAAATGAGGAAACCACAGAGAACTTAAGTAATCTATCCAAGTTTATATGTAATGAAAGTAAAAGCAAAAATTTAATGATGGCAAACAGTTGTGATATAATATCAATTGATTTTCATTAGTACTATGTAATTATTTTCATATTATCTTCTCATCTTCATTAATATTTCTGCTTGTTTTATTCTAGTAAATTAACACTTTTTCCCTCGTACGACATGAAAAATTAAAAGTATAAATTCATTTTCAATTAAAACCTAAAAGGTAGAGAAATAGTTAATATTATTCAAGCAACTACACAATAATTCCCTGGCAAAAATAATTTCAGTAGAGATAGGGTTGTAACTAGATGTCCTACGATTTAAAAACTTAACTTAGCGATAAGGATTATCAGCCATCTAGGCTGATCAATGGAACTCAAGGGACTGATAAATTATTTAAACGTCAAGTTTTATGCATGTGAGGCCTCCAGCTTCCATATTATTCTCAAAGGAATCTGAGGGTTAAAATAGGTTAAAATCTGCTGTTTTGGTGTTTACTCTTTCTTCAGGAAAATTAAGATATTTAGCCACATTTGGTCCTGAAATCCTTAGTTTATTATGATGATTTCTAGATCATGTGATAAAAAAGGGATGTGAGAGTACTTGACAATGGTCTAAACAATGTTACCTTCATTATTTTAGCATTCATGAATATCTAAGCTTTAACTTCTGAAAAACCTTGTTAAAAGTAAAAATACAAATAGTTTATTTCAAACTGATAGGCCTTTCAAAAACTAAAAGCAGAATTACATTTTATTTAATTCCAAAATAATTTTATCACAGTTTTCTTACCAGTTAATGACACTTTTGCATCATCTTCTTTTGATTCATCTTTAGACTCATCTGTTTCTGTGCTATCGTAATCAAATGATTGATTAACTGGTTCAGAGGAGTGAACTGTCTGGTCATCCATCACTTTAAGTACCCAGAAGAGAAGTATGTTTGAACAAGCAAAAATAAGATCCATAAATATTAAAATATGCTTAAAAAAGGAAAACTGAAATAGGAACCCAAAGAGATTCCACATTCACAAATAAGCACTGACTGGCAATGAACTTTGGGGTCATGTGACGTCTGTTAAGTACTAGAGATTATAAAAGGAAATATTTTAAATTGTCAAAATTACATTTTTAGTGGAAGAGAAAAATAAAATATAAGAACTTTACAGAATGAAATACAAGTCCAATTACAAGTTACAATCTGTTTCTGAATATTAATTATTTATATTAAAGTTAACTTCTAATCTACTACTAAAATTCTAAGAGAAGTGTACATATTACATTAATACAAAAAATTAAAATATAGGTGTAACTTTTATAAACTCTTAAAAAAGCAACATCAACATTTAGGAAATAAATGTTAAAATATTTTCCAAGTAGTTTATAGGTTTGATATTCTTTAAGAATTTAACAGATTCCAGTTTAAACATTTTTTAATTTTAGAAATATGATTTAAAGGTAATTTTTAACTTTATTTTAATGTTTCCAGTGTACTTTATCTCTGAAACTTTTTTTTTTTGCAGTATGCAGGCCTCTCACTGCTGTGGCCTCTCCCGCTGCGGAGCACAGGCTCCGGACGCGCAGGCTCAGCGGCCGTGGCTCACGGGCCCAGCTGCTCCGCGGGCATGTGGGATCTTCCCGGACCGGGGCACGAACCCGCGTCCCCTGCATCGTCAGGCGGACTCTCAACCACTGTGCCACCAGGGAAGCCCTAGCTCTGAAACTTTTCAAAGTGTGTCCAGACTGACCAATAGGAAAATTCCCTTGTGCTTGCCACGGGAATGCTGCTCCCTTCTTCTGAAGTTACTTTTGTTAATGTGTACCTTTTCCGGCTTCTTCAATGACTTGCCTCACTGCTTTCTTTAAACTGTTTGCCCGCAGCATTATTTCCCTCGGTTTGACAGTTTTCTGGGAGGAAGGTTTTGTAGTGTCATCCAAGAGTTGTTCCTTGCTTTCACACAAGGATTCTTCGCTGGAAGATTCCACAGGATCTTCTTCGACAACGAGAGGGCTGATGCCCGGGAGAACCGGACTAGCCTGGGAATCTGTGTGCAAAGCCTGGAGCAGTTGTTCAAGCTTCTCATTTAGAACTGAACACTAAGAAAACAAAAACGCGGTAATGAATCTTCATTTAGTGGAGATGGAAAGTGATAGTTTAAATGAATGGTTTTTGGGTTTTAGAGGAAGGATGCCTACACTGATGTTTATCATTAATTGGTTATCTATTATAAATTATACCTTAGACAGCTATGGACTTAATATCTTATCATTTTTTTAAAAACAGCACAATTATTCTGTAAATTTACTGATTTATACTTCCAGAACTATTCAAGCACCACTGCACACGTGAAAATCTTTACAATCTTCCTAAAGCTATTTTTCTTTAAAAGAAAACAACGAAAGCTTCACGATAAAGTGACACGTTACATTAACAATTTACACGTTATACAAAATCTGCTGTACATTATACAAAACACTGCATAAACTTTTTTTTTAAGTAATCAACTTACGGCACTGCCAAGCCTGCCTGAGTCTTGTAAACACAAACTGCCAAGTCTGGCTGAGTCTTGTAAACTCACCTTCAAACCTTTGGTTTGCAAAGGAGTGACAGTACTTAAGGGATTATTGGCTCAAAGAAAGAGAAAAAGGAATATGCACAGGATAAGGAAGAACGATGCAGAACGATGCAGAAAGAAAACAAGTACTGGGCCCTTGTTTCTTTCTGCTTTTCTTGAATTCCTAAGAGTAAAGGAACATTTAGAACTGAAGCTATTGATGCTACTGCCTAATATACGTTTTACCTCCACACAATTTCCAGTCCCTTCCGCCTCCCTTTGTTTTTGATGACATGCCAAGAGAGAGTTACAGCAGAGATAGTTATGAGAAAAAAGTGTGACTACAGAGGGTTTCTGTTTTCTGAAGCTCTCCACAGAGCAGAAAAACAAGAGAAAGAGGCTGAAAACTTCAAATGTATATTTCTATTTTCTTTTCCTTCCACTCAATCAAACCACTGTCCACAGCTGGGGAAGATCATTCCTTTGCAAAGCCCAAGAGAGCCAAGCCTTTTGTGAGAATGCCCTGTCGTGAACAAATGAAAGCAAAGATGGTAGCTTTCAAGGTTCAGTAAACTATTCTTATTTTAGCCTCAGAAAGCTCACAACGGAAAAGAAATATCTATAAAGAAAAAGGCAAAGCAAGAAACAGAACCCTGAAAGAGGCCGAGGATCATAACATCTGGGAAATCCAAGCAATGATGCTGGGAGGGAACTTGAGTGGCCAAGGTTTGCCTGGAAGTGGAAAACCATTCCTCTTCCCACTGGAAAGCCAGCTTCCCAGCATTTCCCCCCATGTGACCCGACTACTGTGCATTTCTCCTTCAAAATGTCAATCAGTGGGAAAAAGGAGTTGAGTTATCAAGTTCGGCGTGTTGGTCTTCAGCAATGCAGTTTTCCTACATATTAAAGGGACTAACCATAAAGCATGTTTTAAACCCTCCTATCTGATTCAAAAGTAATTTTTCTCTTGGTTTAAGATACTTTGGCAGGAAAGCCACTTAATCAATTTAGCTGTAAAACACAGTTCAATATTAACACTGTCAGTAAAAAACCTTCCTGTCCTGAACACTACCCGCTTACTTTATTGGCCACGGTATCGGCTGCAACAGCTTTTTCCAATGTTTTTTCATGCGCCTTCTCTACTTTGGCAACGAAATCCTTTACAGTTTCACAAAGTACCCTTTGAAGAAAAGAAATTGTGCAATTCAGGAAACTCGGTAGGCTGATTTGCTTTGATTTACAAACATAGTTAAAAATAAGCACAATTAAGTAAACTGTTAAAATATCGGGATCATTTGTTTATAAACCCATACTTGTATTTGCTATGTAACATGTCCTATATAAGTTCAAGACATTAGAAGTGATAAATGGATACATGAATAAACCTTGCTCTACATAATTTAAATAAGTCATTTTAAGGTTATAACAAGCCTTTCTCAAATATTTAAATTTTTAAAATTCTTGAGAAGAGTAGTTGTAGACCTTATTTAAAAAAGAAAGCATTATCTTCTGCACCTTATGTATCCTTAAAACAGGACTTTCAGTGTTGAGCAAACAAGAATAAATCTGTCACTAATGGTGTCACTGTTGCTCTCCTATTCATTATATAGGTAACTATATTCTTCCTGAAGAGGAAAGAGGTTGTGCGTTATGCTGGAAACCAACCTGCCACTTGACTTGAGTTACATTCTCTGTAAATCCATTCATTTTTTTCCCTTAAGATAACCAATGTAATAACATGCAGACTAACTGAATTTAGGTCTTGTTCGTGTCAGCAATATATGGTTTACTTGTTTCTTTTAATTACATTTGGTTTCTTTGCAATAGAAATAGACTAAAAGAAAAAAATCTGAAACATCAAAACATTTGTCAAAAGTCTGTTGGATTAAAAACTACAACCAACAGAATGGTATATGACCAGCTTTTTGTAGCAAGCACTTATAAAGTGATTTTGAAAACAAAATCAGACTATTTTAAAATAATAGTATTTCTCTTTAACACTGATAAAGGTTGAGGAATTTTAGGAAAAAGAACCCCAGATTACAGCAATTTTTTTTTTTCTGTTATACTCACAATTTTCTCTGGTATGTGAGTGACATAAACTTTCCAGATACTTAAGTATTAGGAAATCGAGCCATTCAATAGATACAGTACACACACACACACTCTTCAAACCTCCACATTTATCATCTAAGAAATAAATGAATTACTCCTAACATTTTTTGTTTTGTTTGTTATTTTTGGCAACCATTTCCAGATTTCACTTGGACAAAAGGTCATACTTCCTAACCGTTAACCTTTTTGGTTGGGCTTTTAAACAGATTTCTACAGAGACTCTAGCTAACCATTTATGAGAGATTCATTCATGTGTTTCATGTCAAGTTTGGTCTTCTTTGCTCATGTATAATATTTTTATGGAATTTCTTGAAATATTCAGACAGGCTACTATGAAATTTCTTCTATGAACTTTACTGAAAGTTTTTCTAAGACGTCCCACGTTTAAGAAGAGAAACAATGACATTCCCTCCTCTTTACGGAACTCCAAAATAAAATAAAAGTTTTCCTTGTTATTATTACAACACTGTGTTGATAAATTTTCCTCTTGGATTTGTGAAATTGCATAATGCCATAACATTATCATAGCTACTTTTGCTGGCGTTTCACTAACTCCTAGGGACAGAGCCTGTCGGTCCATCAGTCTAGGAATGAAAGGGGCAGCAGAGGTGCTTCCTCACTTGTGCCATGCTGCTGAGGCAGATAGAGGCTCAGGGAGAGAGGAGGATACTGTGTTAGGGAACGCTTGCCACTTAGTTGGGGGAATCTTATGGTCCACTAAGTTCCATATTCCAGAAGACAGAGGATACTTATAATCTGGAGGAATGAATTCACTTTTTGTTATACCTAAATGGTGAATGCAGAGGTTTTTAAAATAGAAATAAAACGTATACTTAAAAGCAGTGTGATTTCAAAGTCACACCAACTAGGAACTTGCAAAATTGGGGAAAAACAGTTTTAAGATGTATTTACTACAGTAACACAAAAAACATCCTCCAACTGATACAGTTTCCCACTTTAATACATAAAGACTTCCAGAAAATATGTGCAAAAATCAAATGAATGAAACTGGAACATGGATCTTCACATAGAGCTAAAAATATTCTAAATTCCTAATGCCATGTTTAATTAACATTAGTTATCATTTTGATGAGGTATATCCAGCACTGCACTTCTTTAGTTTTGTTCTCTCTCTTCCAAGCTGCACATGGTCAAATTATTCAGATGTAGCTAACAACAGTCCACACAGCTAGCATGCTTTATGATTTCCACCGTCATCTTAATTATGTTATATATGGGATCTATACCTATCACTGGCAACAGCATCTTCATTCATCAGTTTTCCACTTATTTTTAATAGGGATAAATGACAATAAAACATGCAAATGCTACACTAAGAAAAATACGGCAATGGTGCCCAAACAGAACCACAAGTTGGTAGTCAGTACCTGAAAACTTCGTTTTTTACCTGATATTTAAAAGTTCCAATCAGAAATTCAAGGTAATTTACAAACATCAATGCATAATATAATAAAACCCCTAGCTATCTATGTGCTCTGAGGAAAGATTTTAACTACATATCTTACCTCATCTCTTCAGTGAGGGCGTTTGCCTAAATTATCTCTAAGATAGATCCTAAATCTAAAATTCTATGGTTCTATGACAATGGTTCCAATTTTATTATTTTTTCCTGCTAATGATCCCATTTTCTGAGAGTTTTTTTTAAATGTTTACTTATTTATTTATTATTTCGGGGGGGGGGTGCATCAGGTCTTAGTTGCAGCGTGCAGGCTCTCCAGTTGTGGCGTGCAGGCTCCAGAGCACTGTAGGCTCTGTAGTTGTGGCGCGCAGGCTCCCGAGCGCATGGGCTCTGCAGTTTGTGGCATGCGGGCTCTCTAGTTGAGGCACCAGGGCTCAGTAGTTGCGGTGCATGGGCTTAGTTGCCCCGCAGCCATGTGCGATCTTAGTTTCCCGACCAGGGATCAAACCTGTGTCCCCTGTATTGGAAGGCGGATTCTTAACCACTGGACCACCAGGGAAGTCCCTGAGAATTTTTGTCTACAGAATAAATTGCATTTACTTAATAACTTGTTTTTTATTTTTATTAATAAATGACATCTATAATGACTAGTTAGTCCTTCTGAATCTCAGAAGATAACTCATGTTACCATACTGAACTGACAAAATTACAGTCAAGGAAATGTTGACTCTATGTTGATGAACTACATTAGTTAACCTACTTATTAGCTATGCTGATGAAATACAGCTTTTCCATCAGCAGTTTCAACATTTTAACATAGTTAAAAATAGCTTAAGCTACTGGGAATTACTATTTTATGAAACAAATATAAACATACACAAGAGGTTTAGTTAAAACGTTCTGCCTTAATGTATCATTCAACAAGTAAATGGCATTAACAAAAGAAGGGAATTCTTTATTTTATCTAGGTGGTAGTTACAAGAACGTAGAGGTAGGGCTTCCCTGGTGGTGCAGTGGTTGAGAGTCCGCCTGCCGATGCAGGGGGCACGGGTTCAAGCCCTGGTCTGGGAGGATCCCACATGCCGCGGAGCAACTAGGCCCGTGAGCCACAACTACTGAGCCTGCGCGTCTGGAGCCTGTGCTCCGCGACAAGAGAGGCCGCGATAGTGAGAGGCCCGCACACTGTGATGAAGAGTGGCCCCCGCTTGCCACAACTAGAGAAAGCCCTCGCACAGAAACAAAGACCCGACACAGCAAAAATAAATTAATTAATTAATAAACTCCTACCCTCCAAAAAAAAAAAATGTAGATGTAAATGTGTGTGTGTATTATGTTTTTCTAATCACTAAGCTGTACCTTTATGATTTGAGTACTTTACTGTGTATATGTCGTGCCTCAAATAACACAGTTTTTTAAAAGTAGGGAGAACTATTATAGATTTTCTAAGTCTTAGAGATGTAAAACCCAAATGCAATACATGCCCTGTTTGGATTTTGATTTGAACGAATCAATTGTCTAAAATAAACTTCAAGAAAATTAGGGGAAATGGAATATAGTTGAGTAATTATTATTAATTTTATTAGACTTTTATATACTGAAAGTGGAATAAAATGATTTCTGGGATTTGCTTAGAGATACTCCAGCAAAAGAAAGTGGGGAGTAGAGGACAAAATGTTGATAAATACTGAAGCTGAGTGATGGGTATGGTGGGAAATCATTATACTAGTGTCTCTACTTTTTTGCATATTTGAAAAAAATCCATAACAAAAGTCAAAGTAAAAATATACTATATCACTGGTACAAAGTTATTACATATTGTTCTCTCTTTTCTCTCTTGAACCTCTTTATGGCAAATTCCCCCAGAATTTTAATCTGCTGTTGTACAGTTCAGGCATCTGGGCAGGCCTGGGAGCTCAGACAAGTGGCAAGAGGGGACCAAGGTTGTAATAGAATCTGCTTAAAGGCAAATGAGCTAGTCAGGGAGGAATCCAAAGCCAAGCTAAGAGTAGAGCCTAGACAAGGAGCCAGGTCAAGGTCAAGGAAAAAATGTGAAATTCAGTTGGGTAAAACATGAGGTGATGATACCGTAATTTAATATAGCACTCTGTAGTTTATAAGCTCTAATTTTATTTCATTACTCAAGTTAATTCCCCAAACAGTTCCATGAGGGAGGAAGGACAGGCATTCTTTCCATTGTTACACTTGATAAAACAGGCATAGGTCACAAAGCCAGCAAATGGTTGAATCTCATCTAGGACCTCAGACTGACATATTACAGCACTGTGACTTACGTCAGTGGCTTTCAAGCTGTTTTTTCAGAAATATTTCAAGGATTTCACGAAGGCTTGATTAAAATTTCATTTAGAAATATAGAATATAACTTTTTAAGTGTTCTTAACATTTTAAAATAACTTAGCTATACAAGAGAACAATACTATGTTAGCTTTTACTTTAGAATTCACTATTTTTTGTGCAAATCTCGTACTATATTTAATGCAGTTTCCAGTTATTTCTGTATTTTATGTTGGTTACATGGTCGTAAGGAAATTGTCTTCAATTAAATAAAAATGGCATCCTTACGACCATGTAACAACATAAAATACAGAAATAACTGGAAACGGCATAGAACATAAAACTAAAACTGTCACCTATAACCTTATCGCTTATTTTTCTGTTAAATAACTAATAATTTAATCCTATCCTATGTATTAATGCCAACAAAATAAAATTTTAGTTTTTAATATTGGGATTCTGCATAAAATTTTATTTGAAAAAAGACAGTTATAAGTCAATTATCATCTTAAAGAAATAAAAATAAAAAACACATAAAATGTAAAAGAGGCAGTAATCAAACACCCGAAAGCCAATATTAAAGCTTTGCTAACATCTGAACTAAGAAAGGTGGCCAAATAAAATATTTACTTAACTGTATTAAAGAATAATTCTATAACTTGTTATACCTTTAAAAAGTTTCCATTGCAACTTTCAATCTTTTCTGGCCATGTCCTCTAAAATGTCCCATAAAGAGGCACTTGACTCATAGGGCAAGGGTGGCAAATGCAAATGTCTTCCTCATAGAAGTCACTTAAGAAATACCAGAGGAAGTAACTTTGGTATGTGAATTTGGCCCAAGAGGAGAAAGACAATAGGGAGTGCTAAGGCCTGGGACAAAGTAGAGATTTGTACATTTCACCATAAAGCAATCTAACTAATTAAAAAACACCCAATCGAGGCATCAACCAAAAAACCCATCAGCGGCACTGCCCATCAAATAAAGAGCATCTGGAGCCCACTAATCTGGGCAACCAGTGTGCTTCCCTTGCCTTTTGCTGTTAACTCTTTTCCTATTGCTCAGTCCTATCTCCTATTGCCGAAGGTTATGGCGCCAAAGAGCAATTGTCACTACCTCTGTGCTTTGGTCACAAGCAAATTTGTTTTTCATGATTTATTTTGTCTCTCCTTGACTTCTTTGCAAATTAAGTATGTAACATGTAAAGTTTGTGTATTTTTCCCTCCATCACTTCCCCACTCCCTTTCCTTCCCTTCCCTTTCTCTCCTCTTTCTGTATATCAGCAATATTTCCTTGCTAAGCCTGAATCCTAAAGCATGCTTTTACTTCTGCTCATCAGCTGAAAATTTCGGTGGGTTTCACTCCTTCCCACAGTTGATTTTCCAGTTCTCACGACAGCAGTATAGGGTGCTTCAAGACTAAATCCTAAATTCCAGGCAGACAACATTCGGGATAATAAAATCAAGGAGCTTTGGCTCCATGTATGGAATCAACTTAACTAAAATCTGATAACTTTGAATTCAAATATAATTACATAATTTAAACATACTGAGAAATGTCATTTTGAAAAATCTCATTATTATTTTCCTTTTCCTGGTGTAAACAATCCCTGAATAGTACTGTTTACGGAAATAATGAATTATAGTGAAATGTGTTTTCCACATCATAATTAATCATAAATGTTTCTTTAAATAAGAACCTAGATTAATCAAATTCTAAACATTCATTGTACCTTTTTGAGAAAAATGTTTCGAATTAAGCCTCAAAAAAATAGCCTCTAAATAAACTCCACTGCAAATAAGATGCTAGGGTGGTTTTTTAAAAACCAGTGCAAGTTTAGTATATCTAGTTCTATAACCTACTTCACAGATATTTTGGGGAGCGGAAATCACGAAGAAATGTCATAAGTGATAGGAAACAGCTTTCCTTTCATTTTTCACCATATAACTATATCATGACTTGAACTCCACAACTCACTTGGCGGATGATATGACCACTGCATGTTCATCAGAATTGAGGATTTTTGTAAGATGAGCTGCAACTGAGTCTTCATAAATTGTCATCTGAAAAAATAAAAAACTCACACTGTATTATTGTTTCTGGCATTTATACAACTCAGTTACTACTGCTTCAAAAATGGGACCATTTTGACTCATCTGACACATGGCAATGGCTGTCATGAAATATAAATGGATTTAATGAAATAAGTAATATATATGAAAGAGTCATTATACAAAATAGATAAATATTTCCTTTCTGTGAAAGGCTCTTTGTTTCTGGAATTCTTTAATTCATATTCTTAGAAAAATCCATAAAATCCATTAAAAATTTCATTCATGTCAAATAGCTGAATATATAAAAAAAAAAACTCTTACAAGTGAATACAAAAAAAGCGAGACAATCTAATAAAAATTGGCAAAAGTCTAGAAATTAAAGAGGAAGATAGGGCTTCCCTGGTGGCGCAGTGCTTAAGAATCCGTCTGCCAATGCAGGGGACACGGGTTTGAGCCCTGGTCTGGGAAGATCCCACATGCTACGGAGCAACTAAGCCTGTGTGCCGCAACTACTGAGCCTGTGCTCTAGAGCCTGTGAGCCACAACTACAGAGCCCACATGACACAACTACTGAAGCCCGCGCGCCTAGAGCCCATGCCCTGCAACAGGAGAAGCCAGCGCAATGAGACGCCCGCGCACCGCAATAAAGACCCAACACAGCCAAAAATAAACAAATAAAATTTTAAATATGAAAAATAAATAAATAAAAAATAAATAAAGAGGAAGATATACAAGTGGTCCATAAGCAGATGAAAAGGTGATCAATCTCATCAGCCATCAGGGAAATAGAAACTAAAACCACAATGCAACACCCCTGTATATCTGCAGAATAGCTAAAAGGAAAACAGCAATGACTGGAAAATGCCATATGCTGGCAAGGTTGTGGAGCAACAGAATTCTTGTACACTGCAGTGGAGGCACAAACTGATACAAACACTCTAGAAAACTGCTGGGTAGTATCTATTAAAGCTGAACGTATGCATAACACTGTGGGACTCAGCCATTCAACTTCTGTTTATACTCAAAAGTAAGGCAGATGTGCTTTCCCAAAAGACACGTGCTAGAGTGTTCACAGCAGCATCCATTCAATAGTAGAATGGATAAAAAACTGTAGCATATTCGTGCAACAGAATACTACAGGGCAATGAGAATGCATGATGTACCACTATGCCACAATATAGATGGATCTCACAGAC